TTAGGGATGGCCTGGCCATCAGGAGCACCAAGACAATTTCAGTGGGCTGCTGTATGTATGGGCTCTGAAAGTATGAGACAGAGAGAAATGCATGGGTATTTCTAGTGTAGCCCTACATAAAATGAGCGAAGACCGTTCGGGGCAAGTGGTATGTGCAGGGTGAACACTGGCTTGCACACATCTAGTTAGAGTTTGTTAGTGACCTGCTGCATTCTAAGTGTGTGGCCATTGGCCAATCACACAAAGCATAATAATAACAATGGGAAAGTTAAACCATAAAGGCTAGCTTGATAGAGATTAGACAATCTCCAGAAAGCTAATGTGGGTCATGGTTTTGGGGGTCATTCTTTGGGGGGAGGGGGGACTGTGGGGTCTCACTGTTGTTGTAGTGGGCTGGTTTAAACACAACTCTCAGGGGTAATTTAGTTCCAAGTCCAGCCCTGTATACAACTAAAGTGAATTATCAAGAAATGAAACTTGTCCTAACAAATTATATTAGCTACTACTGTTTATTATGTTATTATCAGTAGCTACAGTATTTTAAAGTTCTGCCTGACAGGAAATCAAAAACACTGCAGCATCACTTAATTTTGTAAAAATACAAAAGGAAGTTAAGAGTTCCAAGCCAAATTCATAGATGCTGTTGTTAGTGTCTGAGTAGAAGTTAAAATTGTAACAAAAAGTATAACCTGCTACTCAGTGGTCCAAATTAAAAACAATCAGAAATACAATCCCATTTCCAAAAATAGTTGGGATGTTATGCAAAATGTAAGTAAAAACAAAAAGCAATGATGTGCAAATCATTTAAATCCTATATGTCATTGAAAATACTACAAAGACAACAAATCATTTTTAAAAAAAAATGTAAATTTCATGCCAACAAAACACTCCAAAAAAGTTGTGATGTTCGCATGTTTACCACTGTTTTTCATCACCTCTTCTTTTAACAACACTGTGTAAGTGTTTGGTAACTGAGGAGATACTGCTGTAGTTTTGAAAATTAAATGTTTTTTCCATTCTTTTTTGATATAGGATTTCAGCTGATCAACAGTTTGACGGCTCATTTGTTGTATTTTTCATTTCATAATGTTGCAAATGTTATCAGTGGGTGACGGGTCTGGACTGCAAACAGGTCAGTTTAGCACCCAGACTCTTTTAATAAGGAGCAATGCTGTTTTAATACATGCAGAATGTGTCATTGTCTTGCTGAAATAATCAAGGCATTCCCTGAAAAAGACGTCATCTGGATGGCAGCATACGCTGCCAAAACACGTATATATTGTTCAGCATTAATGGTGCCTTCACAGATGTTCATGTCACCCATGCCATGTGCACTAATGCACCCATATACCATCATAAATACTGGCTTTTGAACTGTGCACTGATAACAAGCTGAGTGGTCTTTAGCCCGGAGGACACAGTGTCTGTGATTTCTAAAAAGAATTTCAAATGTTGATTCGTTGGACCACAGCACACTTTTCTACTTCACCTCAGTCCATTTTAAATGAGCTCAGGCCCAGAGAAGGTGGCAGCGTTTCTTGATTCTGTTTATATATGGTTTCTTCTTTGTGTTTTAGAGTTTTAACTTGCAGATGTGGATGCAGTAACAAACTGTTTTCACAGACAGTGGTTTCTAGAAGTGTTTCTGAGCCCATGCAGTGATTTCCACTACAGACTCATATCTGTTTTTAATGCAGTGCTGTCTGAGGGCCCAAAGATTATGGCCAGCAAATACTGTTTTTTGGTCTTGTCCCTTGCATACAGAGATTTCTTCAGATACTCTGAATTTTTAAATATTATTATGTACCGTAGATGAGAAATGGCAGAACTTCTTTGCTATTTTCATATACCCAATCACTGATTACCGTTGCCAATTAACCACCAGCTGTTTTTTAGCATAACACATACCAGCCTTTTGTTGCCCCCATCCCAACTTTTTTGGAAGGTGTTGTTGGCATCAATGGGCAAATATTTTTCAAAAAACAAAACAATGTCCCAGTTTCAACATTTGATTTGCTGTCTTTGTTCTATTTTCAATGAAATATAGGGCTTTAATGGTTTGTACAACATTGCATTTTTGTATGTTTTGCAAAGTGTCCCAACTTTTTGGAAATGGGGTTGTATATATACCTACACTCTGAAAATAAAGCATTAGAATGTTTAACTGGACTGATGCCGTAAAAGTACTATTGAAGAACTTCCAATGGATGTTTTATAATGAACTATTTTTATAAATGAAATGTTTGAGCTTGGAGTTCGAAGAAGCTCCACAGACACCATAAAGTTGACTCACAGGCCTGCTATACATGGGGATAACCCAACTAGCATGGAATGAAAGTTGAACATCTTCAGTGTCAGAAAACATGTTCTGGAATTAGTGCATTAATGACCAAATTTATGTTGTGCACTTCTGACAACAAGACACAACATGGCACAAAGTTAACGGGTTCTTATTTTGAAAAATGAAGCAACTAATACAAATAATCAGAGCTTTTCAGAACTTTTAATTTAAACTGAACCTCAAACTTATTTTGTTTCATTTTCAATGACAACCAGCTGAAGTGTTTGATCCAATTAAACAGAATAACAAAAGGACAAAATACCCTGCTTTACTTATTCAAACGTATCTGATTATCATATCTACTTCATCTATTCATGTCTACATCATCTATTTTCACTATAACTATTACATTTCAGAAGTAAACAGACCTTAACACTCCATTGCATAATCCATGTAAATGCTGCTGAGCTGTTTGAATGAAACGCAGTGTGCTCTGCATCAACCTCTTGTTTTGCAAGAGTCCAAACTGCCCTGCTATAAAGAAAGATATGCAATGAATTCATTCTAAAAAGTGAAACCTGGCCAAGGCATGTATTGACAGGTAAACTATTCACTGCCAAGTTCCTGACAAAAATCAGACACGCATAAATATTACTGCTACTACTGCCACTAGCCTACTACTACTAATAGTAGTAATTTTAACTGAAACTCAAGGATGCTTTTACAATTCCAAATAACAGCAAACAAAAACACATATACACATTTATCAACCTTTATTGACTTCTGTATTATTGTAGCAAAGTAATACTATACTTAAACCTAAATCTAAACTAACCTCAACATTACACCTAAAGGCAATATTTCTATTTTTCAACAAAAGTTTGGAAAAAGTGGTGAAAATAACATACACCAGCTAAAAGGTCCTCACTTGTACTTGTCTCAAGTTGTCATATCATTTTGAGGATAATTTGGTCTGGTAGCAAGCAAGCACACACACACACACACACACACACACACACACACACACACACACACACACACACAAACACAAACACACAGCTCCTTATATTTTTAATTAACAGCTAATGGGCCACAATGACAGGTCTGCATGTGTGTGAGGGTGTGTGCATGTGTGTGAAACTGCAGAAGGGACTTCTCTTTCCATTGCCTGCATTTGCAAATGATTCACCATGAATCATTCATGGTGTCTTTGGGGTGTTTCCCTTACATTCAGTGGTTAATATTCAAATTTTGGCTACGTTGATTTTCTACCGATTTGCTGGGCCAGTTGGGTCATTTTGCTGGGTTATTTCTTTGGTGCTGGGTAGTTTCTAGACAGTTTTTGGGTAGACTAACAATGACACTAATAACTTCATCATAGATTTTAAGGAAAAAAAAAGCATGAATTTAAATATTTTAATAAAACTACAAAATCTTACATAGGATGTGTAACAGTAACCCAATAAAGAGATAAAGACAAGCCTGTGCTGGTTCATTTATTAGGGAATAACTCTTATAATCTAGCTTGTCAGGTTGTTCACACATATTATCACATAAATAGCATGTAAATTCTGATTATAAAGTTTTAATATTTAGCAAATTGAACTGAATTTATTAGATTGCTGGGTGACTCAGGCCTAAGAGTATCTCAAAGAAGATAAACATGCAGTCAACCATATATAAGGTTCTCTTCAAGTAGATTCTTAGTAGTGTTTGAAAGTCTTAAGGATTTCAGAGGTGGTTGGTGGTAGGGAGTAACACCTCTGCCTTCTACACTGTAAACTGGGATTCAATCCCCCACCTGGGTAAGCACCCTACACTACACCAATAAGAGTCCTTGGGCAAGACTCCTACCACTACCTTCACCTATCTATGTAAAAATGATCAAATTGTAAGTCGCTCTGGATAAGAGCATCTGCCAAATGCCATAAATGTCATTTTATGTCATTTAAACTCAAGAGTCTAAGAACGGTGATGGTATTGATTGAGAATTTGAGAACATTTCTTTGTGAATAAACAATTAATAAAGAATAGAATGAAACAGTAGAAGGAAAAAATGTAGTTTGAAAAAGTAAAACATTTTGAAATGAGTAAAGATGTGATCAAATAAGTCATGCTTTAATTTGATTTTTACTGGACATTCAAATATTTGAGATGAGTGCACCAAACACCCTGTCCAAAAGTGACTTTTAACAAGGTGGATGAGGCCATTAGGAACTGGCAATAGGAGGCAGGAGGCTCATTGAAGCTTTGACCTAATTCAACCAGTCGCTTCTGAAAATGCTTCACTCTTTTGAAATATTGAGCACTGGTGACATCTGCTGGTCAAATATGTGTACATGCATTATAGAAAGCCAAAAAAGAAAACATATGTGACCCAATGAATACTTGCCCACATTGTCATTGAAGGATAGTCTGTTATATACTGAAATAAACAAACCTGAATTTGTCTATAATATACATGTACATATACTGTAGACAACACTATATTATATGTGTAACTACGGTAATATTTTAACAATGTTTAGTAAATCATGTGGGTTGTCTTGTTATGCATCACATGTACAGTATGTTAGGGACATGTGCATATTAAAATCAAACTTTTTGTGGTTAGTTTACTCACTTAAAAAGGTTTTTATCCATAAGATTTTTACTTAAAAAGTTATTTTTTTTCTGATTTAAATTTTTAAGACTTCATACAACAAAACTCTATTACAATATCCAAAAAGAGAAGAAAGATACAAGCTATAAAGCACTTTATTTGCATGACAGAAGAAAAACAAAATCAGACTATTATTATTATTATTATTATTATTACAAGTGTCAGTCATTGCCACCTCTTTTTGGTAGTTTAACACACCATTCCTTCCCATCAAAAAGTCTTTGAGCCATTTGAATAATGAGTTATATTAATTCAAATGAGGATGTGAGTTGTTCTTGGGTTCTGCCATGGTGACAGACTTGCAGCAGGAGCAAACCACACTAAGCCACTTCCTGTATTGCTGCCTTACCTGAAACCATAAATAAATAAATAAATAAAGCCTCATTTACTGTTAATGAACACTATGTACACCAGCTCTTTTTAAAGTACTCACTGATGATAAGGGTAGAAAGTTATTGGGGATACATTTAGCCATATGCTATATTTTATGTATTGCATATGACACTCCTATACTGTGGACAGCATAAGAAAAGAATAATGTAAGAATTACTGTGAGAATAATGGTTTAAAATGACATTTTTTTAGAGGTTGCTGCAGGCCCAGTTCTGTCAGTAGTACTTTGACAGTCTATCAATTGCAATTGACAGTTCAGCTTTACAATCAATAGTGGCATTACAAGCAAAAAATGTTTTAGACAGAGAATAGCTCTGGCAATGTAGGATGAAGACCGTAATTAGTCTACATAGCACAAATGCTATTATTAAAAAGTGTCTAAAGCAATTTAATAAATAGGCGCAGCAAGTCTTAACACCCATAATAAGACCATTTATTTTCAGATGAGCAACTCCTATTCAGAAGCCTATCAAGTAAATTGCACCAATTTAGCTCTGTAAACTGCAGTAACACTTTACTTGAACCATAATCTTGACATAACCATGCCACAAACATGTCATGGCAGATGCCACATCTGGCAAGACATGTTTATGACACGGTTATGATAATGTTATGTAGCAATGTGTAAGTAAAGTGTTACCTACATTGCTCCCTTGAACCTATATAGAATGCTTTGTAATACATTCGGCTCATTAGCCACCTTTACATGTGGCCTTATAATTCATTAATAATCCATCTAATAGCTTGATCAGAATAGAATATGTCCATGTAAACACCTCAATCGGGATAGACTAGTCTGAGGGCATTCGGAATACTATTTCTATCCAATTGATCGAGGTGGGTAATTCTGTAAATAATCTGTTAAATAGAAGAATAATATCCATGTAAATGCCTGTATCTGATTACGTTCCCAGTCAGAAAGTTTAAGTATGTTCTGATCGCATCATAACGAAAGTGTATAATGTTCAACATGGCGGAGCAGAAACTGGTCTGCAGAGGAGACAAAGTTTATGCTCTGATCTTTAAAAGACGACGGTGGGACGGAAGTCCTGCTTATGTGTCTCAAAACATGACATGGTACTCTATGCATGTGCAAAATTCTGGATCAGATTACTTGTGGTGCGCATGTAAACAGAGATTTTCCACCAGATTGTTGAGTAGGGTGTGCATATAAACACCTCAGTCTTAATCTCAATTGGATTGGCAAAAAAATTGCATGTAAACACAGCCTCTGAAAACAATGGGAGAGTTTGGGAGAATGGTATGGACTGGTATGGAACATAAGGTTTTCATTTTTAAGATTGTTGTTACCTCTTGGTTGAGGACACAGTGAACCAGGAAGATGAAAGTGCCCTGCTGGGAGTTGAGGAACAGGAAGACAATCTCCAAAACTTTACTTCCATCTGTAAAGAAACCCAAAATCCAGGGACAACCAAGGACGATAAACTGGACAATGGTTTTGAAGACGAGAATTCTAGAGATATAGAGAAACAGAGAAGGAAGAAAGGCTGAAAATTACAGCCATCTTCCAATGGATGCATTTGTGTGTTTGTTTATTTAGCTAGTGGCATGGTAGGTGCAGAAATAACAGTACGGTAGTTTCATAAATATGTTTGGTTACCTGGTCTGTCTGAACTGGGAAACCTGATTGTTCAGACCTGCCAGAGCATATCTGAGCATCACAGTAATCACACAGAATAGGACAATGTTGGACTGCAAAAGCAAAGTACATTACTCAGATACAGTTGTAGCACAACCACAGTCTCCAATAAAACCATTTTCTTTTCTGGGAGCACCAATAATCTACTAATGTAATAAATAAACAAAAACATTGGTTAATCATTATGCATTTATTATCCACTTTATTAAAAACATATGCCTTGTAGTTACTCTCACTACCAGCTTCACCCTCCTTATAGATTCGCTACATAGGTCTGTCAACAGGACTGTCCACAACAGGGAAACTGAAAAAAAGATAATGGTATGTTTTTTGTGCAGTACTTTACACCAGAAAGGTGGAGCTCCAAGGTAGAACTTACTGCAAGGATGACACAAACAGGACCCAGGAAACTCCAGGTAAAGTTCTTCTTGTTCTTAATCCAGCATCTACATCAATGAAGTTACATACCATACACATAGCATTCTGAGGTGAATGAGCACAAGCTCAAGTCAGAGATATAATGTACCAGTAAAACTGAAGGTTAAACCACAGTTTTAACCACACTCACTTTTCACTGCCATATCCATCAGGAAACAGACCAACAGAAACACCAACTACAGCCAGTGGAATGACATAGCCAATCACAATCAGGTATTTCCAGCTGAGCACATCCTTCTGCTTTGATCTGATCTTTGTTAGGTTCTTCACAAAGAAGAAAAGCAGAAAAGCTTCAATGAACATCCACACAAAAGCAGAGAGAAAGAGGAAGTGCAGAACACCTGCCATTGCTGCACACACCATCTGGGGAGAGGAGAGAGAGAGAGAGAGAGAGAGAGAGAGAGAGAGAGAGTTACTTACTTGTTATTGTCCATTACCTTGTGATCAACATTATTTATACTGCGTTGCATACCAGATATGTGAACTTGACTCAACAACTTGAACTTGAGTTGTGCTCAAGTCACATGTTGATTGACTTGCTGCTCAACTTGGACTTGACTTGCATTCTAGAGGTACAACTTCTTCAAGACTTACAAACTTTCAGCCCGATGAAAAACATGAACAAAATAATTAGGACTGTTAGCCTTGCAACGTTAAACAAAGAAAATCTTTCTTTTCCAACCTTACATGTGTTACTTTGCCTGTTAGTTTTGCTATGGCCACGGACAGTTGTTACTACATCATCACATTCCTGCCACTTCCAGTACCATCCCATTTGATCAAAAAACAAGCCTTCATTATAGAAAAACTTTCAGTTTGATGGACACAACAAAGCACTACATGCAGCACATGCTGTATTAAAAGAAAAGAAACAAAACAAAAATCAGGCAGAGCCTACATGAATTTTTTGGGTTTTTTTGTGTGTACATGCATGGAGAGAAGTGACCACTTCCTGAAGCCCCTCCACCATACTTATCTGTACCCATTGGCTCTTAGGCACTCAAGGTAAATCGGCACTCCATGAGAGTGTGTTCTGCTCCCCAGAAAAGAGTCAGGATTGCAAATTCTCTGCTCTAGTATAAGGGATGACAATATTGATGATGGTGCTCCAACTTGCATGCTGTTATGGTGTAAACATTAGCCAGCTGGCTTTTCCTTTTATTATTACCTTCTGTTATTTCATGGGTGGTACTTCTCTGGCCAACCACCAAATGCGTAAGCTAGCACTGCAAGTGTGTTTTTGCCCAATGAAAAGATCAGATCATTTTCCAAAATGCTTCCTGGTCCTGTCTCTTCCCTGGGGATGTCACATTGGTGTCAGAAGTGGGATTGGCTGAGACTGCTGGTAAAGATGGAGCAACTCTTGCAAGAGATTGACCAGACAACAGCTGCCAAAAGAAAGAAGCAATCCCAGTAAGGAACAGACAACAGCTCAGAGGCTCCACTAGACCCAAGTACAGAGTGCCATGTCTACTTCTCAATAAAGCTGGAGGAAGGCAATTGGCAGGGAGAAACATCAGTAGCTAATGAGCAAGTACAACAGATAACAACCAAAGCCAAAAATATTGGCCTTTTCCTATCATAATAATAATTTTGACACCCAGCTAAATATGGTGGCTAGATTCTATGAGTGTTTGGAGCCCTTCATGCTATAGACTGTTCTAAATGCATCACAACGATGGTGGTGAGCAAAGAGAGAGAAAAATATGCCAAGCTGAGCCTGTCTAGTCATGACCACTCACATTTGGTTTGCTAGCACTGTTGTAAGAAAGAGCCAGTGTGTCCAGAAAATGTGAAGGAGGCCAACCAGAGAGGGATACACTGCCCCCACATTCCAAATTCCTCATAGAGAACCATGTTGTTGACAGAGTGGGAAAGCAACAGATGAACATGAATGTCCCTGTGTCAATAAGCACATGACAATAGACCCGTTTGATGGTGCATAGTAGCCCCTGCCCTGGTTTGGATTGGGAAGAAAGACAGTGACTTGTGGTTCTATGTTGATAACCACTGTCCCAAGACCATCACCAAGCTATAGACTCCTATAAGTTGCCCAACACTCTTGATTGACTAGCCTCCTTTTTATGGCTTAGCTTACTAGAGTTATCAAACAGGTATTGGCAATTTCACTGCTACCTTAGAAACATTTTATGAATCCAACCATGAGCTATTTTGAAAGTACAGGACTCCTCATCCATGTTGACTCAGATTTGTACAAATTTATAACATTCAGCCCTTATTGAGAAGAGGTGGAGCTCTTAATTTTCTGTTGCCTAAATAAACTCCAAAACCCTATTCCTATCTCTAACTAACCAATGATGTGTGATTCTACAAGAATGATGTTAGAATAAAAGCTTAAGTAGAAAGGGGAGTATGAATGGGCAAGGCAATATGTTTTGTACAGCAACTTTTGGATTTAGATTTAGGGCATTTTCGTTGTTCAGCACTTTTTAGGGTAAAGACGCATGTAGGTCATTACAGTTCCAAAGGTGTACACCGGTAATTACACTCACCTTATAATGGTGGATGTAGCCTAAGAATTCTTGTGTGAGCAGGAAGAGGAGGTGAGCCAGCAGCAGGCTTATACAGAGGTTGATTAGAGCTGTGTTGGTCACTCTTGAGTCCCTCTGACAAAGGGCAAAGGTCAACAAAGCCAAGCTCAGGAACACCAGCCCCACTGACACAGCTATCATGTTGAGTAGCTCCAAGAGAGGATCGCTCTATAGATCAATAATTCATCAGAGATTTAGGCACTGATATCTAACATGCTCAACAATTTACTATCAAATTAAAAAATGTGCCAAAACATCCTTTTGACTGAACAGATGTTTTGATTATTATATATATGAATAGAGAAGAGCTAATGGAGTGGCACACCTGGATACCTGCACAGGCTCCAAATTGGAGGGGCAAAATGAAGAAAGCTTCTTGTTCTCTTTGGTACTTTTCTGCTAACCACTTTTCTTTATCATTGTTCACACCTGTTTGTTGTTTGTCACACCTGTGTCTTGTCATGTCATCAGTGTTCCTTGTTTTATCAGTGAGTTTGCTGCACTTTGTGGTCTCTGTTCCTAGTCCTTTCTAGCAATTTTATGGTCCTGACCTTTGACTTTTTGCTAATTGGTTATGATTATGTATAATATGACAATTACACACACACACTTTATGGCATCAGTTATCAAATGCCACCTGTTCTAGTAGCTCAAAATGTATGCAGGGGAAACTGTGTGGAGGTCTGTGTGAAGCTTTTACATAAAGAAGAGTGATTGCATGATTGGGATGCCATTTTTGTTCTTCACAACAGCCTATGTTTAGGTTTCAGATAAAACATTATTCAGATAAAACTTAAACATTAATTAAACCTATCAAAAGCATAAAAACTGTATTTTTGGCTGTTCCAGCCCACCTTAACTTTACTTTACCTTGAGATATAAGCATTTTTATTTAAAAGTTCCTATTATTTTTGTATTATTGCATAAAACCAGTTTACATCTCTTGCTTGAAAAATCTGTTTTCATGAATCATAAACTGTAGGTTATAGAAAATGTACATTTTAGTCTCTTAGAAATCATTCACTGTTTCCTGAACACTTTCACCCATCTGGAATATTCCACAAGTCACTCACATGTTCAGCAGGAATTCGCAAAATCTGAACCACTTAAAGACGGACAGAAGAAATATCGATTTTTTCTTCATGATTTTCAGTGATGTCATGACTGATGAGGTCAACCTTGTTACACAAACTACATTAATATAAATAATGCATTCAAGTTAAAAGACCAATTCAGTCGCTTTCAACTCCGTTACTCATTTAAGTCATTGCAAACAAATAAACCTTGTATAAATGAAATGTAATTCTAGAGATACGCACAATTTTGAGCGGTTAAATGCATGTCATCATAGATTCAACACTGAAAATGATTTAAAAATAATAACAATAATGGCATCTCGATTATGAAATCACCCAGATGGTCCTCTTTGCTTTGCTTTGCTTATCTTTCTTGGTTTCTTAATATCATTTCTCTAACGTAAATCTTGGTTTCTACCCTAATAAGCAGCCAAAGTCTTTTACTCTGTGCACTATCCTTCTATCCTGGGCTCTTACCGCGCCTGGATTAGGCTGCATGATGAGAGCGAAGGTCGATAGGTGAACACAGGAGCATGTAGTGTGGCTCTTGTTGGTGTGGGTGACATTACAGCCATCTTCAACCCATTCGGTTTCCTTCCAGTACACACAGGAAAGAATGCCTTTAGGCTCCAACCTCTACTGAAGAGAAATGGGAGAGGAAAAATCAGAAAAAAGGGATTACATCATTAATTTGTCATATCATCTATACATCATTTACCTGTTCTGTGTGTTTTGAAGTGAGATTATGATGTGCTTACATCTTACTATGTTTTTTGTTAAGCTTATGTTGCCAGAATAGGAAAGCATACTTAATTGTGCTTTGTTACTGTACTTAAGTACTGTTTTGGAAGATTTGGAGTTTACATGAGTATCACTAAAATGGAATACTTGTGCTTTTACTCCTAACATTTCCAAAAGAAAAATATATTTCTCTGTACATTTTTATTTAAACCTTCAAAGTACCGATTTCAAAAGTCAGTCAGTTAAGTTCTCATGCATTTAATTTATTGATTTTTATTAAAAATCCATTCAAATTCATATCAGTGTAAAAAGCACAAAACAATTTTAATTTGTCTTTCGATGGCTAGTACCACTGAATAGTCACTGCACCAAACACAACCAAATGTAGACAATTTGCAATTCATTTGTTGTAACTTTTAATTTGTATTATTATATACTAGAGGATACCTAAACATTGCCCCTTTATTACTTTCAGTCAAGCATATTTTTGGCTCCAAGCTTCCACGCTTACTTGAATAAGACCAGGGCAGCTTACTTAAGTACAATTATTCTGTACTTTATCCACTCTTGTAAGTTTCTTACATGTAACAGTAATGAATCAAACTCACTGATCTATATTTATAATCAGCTAGTTAAAATTGTTTTGTATTAAAATCTCCACAGTACCAGTGAAAAGTCTGAGTAGACTAGGTGGAAGTAATTTTATTTTCCATAATTAACAATGTCATAAAAAATATATATTTTTTTTTTATGTATGTACAGAAGAATAAAGTGTTAAAATATAAATAACTTAGCAAAAGTTGTATCAACAAAATAGTTGAGAAAAATCTCAATCATGAATTCTTCAAAATAACAGTTTAGATTATGGATGCATTTGGTTCAAGTTTGGATCAGGTGTCAGCAGATGTACTGATGAAACCACAATCACTATGTAATCAAAATATTTATCTGAGTTGAGCTTCAGCCATCTGTTTGTGTTGTATGACATAGCTAATACAGGGCAGCTCTAGCTATACTGAGTCACCCCAACTATCCTTCCTCTTTGGCCAGTGTATATATTTATATATATATGGTCAGTTGGTCAGTTGACCAAAATGAGTTTGGTCAGTTGACCAAAATCAGGTAATTTTTTTGTCTGATTGTATATTTTCAAATACTGGTTTTAATTTGTGTTTCAGGCATTACAACAAATAACATATTTTACTCTATTCTAGACTATAAAAATAGCACTTGTTCAAACCTTAATAACTCACAGCAATGTGCTTCAATGTGAAGTTGACTGGTTTGGTGAGCTGTGTGTTGGTGGTTTTGGGCAGTGTGGCTGACACCACAGTGGACAACATGGTTTTCACTGTGTTAACAGATGAGTTGAAGAAGCTGGGTCTCAGCAAAGTTGACAAGTTGGTGTAGCTCATGAAGGCCACAGCAGCCGATCCTGAGGAGAAAAAAGTAATATAAAATACATAGAAGTCTTTTCTTAAAAAGTAACAATAGCCATTAGTCCTGTAAAATAAATAAATAACTAAATAAACATTGGTCTTCAGGGAAACACTATATGGATACGTATAAGAAATTACAAATAACCACTATGGGACAGAGACTGGTTACACTGTGTCAAGAGCACTCTGTTATATCTTGTTAGAATTATTACTTAATTTTTGTATGCAGCAAGAATTAAATCAATTCTGTCAGAATGTCTTAGACATTGAGGCTCAAGATAAATGGAGTGATCTTGACGAGTGTTAAGATGACCACAGGTTGTATATGGGGTCTAAGGTTCTACTATGCCATCTAGTGTTCATTAAATTTACCAAACTTTGTTTCAATTCCAGATCAAATAATAATAACAAATGAGCTGTGAGATATGTATGCACAAGGCATGTAATGTAATCTGGTAATCATGGAATCTGGCTGTGTGCCTTGTCCTTTAGAATATCTCATGAGAAGACGTGACGAATTGAAAACCCGTTTTACCAGAAGAGGTCTGTTAATTTAATCTGGCATGATTTGACTCTCTGATTAATACAGGATAAAGCATCTGTGTAATTTCCCCAAGGTACCCCAAGAAAACTGGAACGAAACATTACTGGGTGTATATTCCTGTCAATGTTATATAAAGACCCCACGCTTCTGAATAAAAAAATAAAAAAAGGTTCTTTATAGCACCAGCCATTGAAATATTCGATAAGTAGGGTTTGGTTTATAAGCCTACACTGCCAACATAAGCTTGTCATGACATCTGACATAACCCTACATACACCGATCAGGCATAACATTATGACCATCTATCCTTGTATCTACATTCATTGTCCATTTTATCAGCTCCACTTACTATATAGGTGCACTTTGTAGTTCTACAGTTATAGACTGTAGTCCATCTGTTGCTCTGCATACTTTATTAGCCCCCTTTTAACCTGTTCTTCTATGGTCAGGACCCCCCATGGACCCTCACAGAGCAGGTACTATTTGGGTGGTGGATCATTTTCAGTACTGAGGTGTTTAAAAACTCCAGCAGCACTGCTGTGTCTGATCCACTCATACCAGCACAACACACACTAACACACCACCACCACATCACATGTTACTGCAATACTGAGAATGATCCACCACCCACACCAACTGTATGATTTAAAGTTTGTCTGCAGTATCTACTTTTCTGCATATCATGGGGGAAATTTGATGATGTTAAACCTGGAAAGAACATGAGTAATACAATACCATTGTTGTTCTTTGCAATCCCAATGAGATCAATATCCATTAAACCGCTTCTTGTTCTGAGTTGAGTGGTTGTACTCAAGGAGGCATTAGGTCCCACCACAAACACTTCAACATCTGAAAAGACGACCCAAGACAAAGATGATCTGTTTCCATTTTTGCAGTTAAATGGCAACACTGCTACAGTAATGGAGAGGAATTCTTGAATGTAGTCAAAAGAAGATTTGTCCTTGCAAGCAAAATACCAGAAGGCCAGGAAGCTGTATCTTTTACTTTTTTATGTTGAGGCTATTATGTCGTCAAAAATAAGACATCTATCATGGCAATTACTGGTAATAGTAACATGGCTCTTTTATATTATAGGAGAACTCATGACACCATATGACATCTGTAATAATATGTTAATGACATTGTTATGTCAATGTTATGCAGCAGGGTTCAAGTAAAGTGTTATCACAGTATGTTTTGTCTCTTGGAAATGTGATTGGGTAAAAGAACAAGTATCCAGTTTCAATAATAATTGAGTGAAATATGGTTCTTCCAAAATAATATTTAACTTTTACGTATAATAACGTAGTAATAATAAACTCAGGTAATTTCAACCTCTTCTCATTATATTCTGAAGCTTATCATTCAGTAATTACATGGAAAACAATCCAAACTGAGTTATTTTAAAGTTATAGAAGTGAGTTATAGAACTTTGGACCCACAATTATGTCCTACCAATTTAACAGTTTAATGAGAGTTTATAATAGTACACTTGACTGTAGAAGCAATTTTGAAGCAGTGTTCATACCTAAAGCTTGAAGAGTGATGTTTGTGACATAGATGGTGTCTGTTTTCCTCACCAATGTAGAAACTAGTTTCTCAACAGCATTCAGTATAGCATTCCCATACAATACCAGTTGATTTTGGTCAGTAACTGTGTTTTCCAAAACATTCATGCATTCCAGCACCTTCTTCAAATACGTTTCCACAATCTAACCAACAGACACGCACACACATAACTACATATACAAATGCAAAAGCCATCAAAACATGCATATCGCTGTTGTCGGAAGAAAACCTTGTATCTCCAAAATGGTAACTTTACAGGAGAAGGAAAAAACATACTTTACTTTTAATGTAAGTCAATGGAACCAGACATTTTACCATTTTGTTCCGTTTCTTTTGGTCCATACTTCATGAAATTTACACACAATGTACAGGATATATGCATTTTCAATATTATGTCAAAAACTGAAAAACAACAAAAATGGAGATACAAGGTTTTCTTCTGACAGCAGCAATATTTATTCAGACAATAACTGTGCCAAATATGGTATTCCTCACCTTCTGTGGTAATCCTTGAGCTGTAATATTCTGAATGCTGCTCAAGAATTCTTTCGCACACTCTGCTGTGAAATTATCCTAAAGGAAACAAGTTGCTTTCAATGTCTTTATTTCTGTGCGCACCAAGATTCCATTATTGTTTATTTAAGAAGGGTTTTTTATGCTTAGAGTCAGTGCAGACATACCTTGCATTCTTCTCTTAAGTTGAGAATAAGTTCTGAAAATAGAAAATTATAGTTCACATCACTTTTCACTTTACTCTGAGTGTTAAATGATTAGCATACAGAAGAGGGCCAAGTCTTTAGTTCCACCAGACTTCCCACAACAATCTTTAATAGCTAGTATGGCCACTTGTACTTGGATTTCTCACTACAGATAGCATAGACTTTGCTCAGATCAAAATCATTGTGACAAATTCAAATCTCCAACAAGTTTTAATTGGTTGAAATATAGTTTATATCTACTATCTAGAAGTTCTTGAGTAGTTTCAGTTTTTATTCAGTGGGATTAGCACCTGAACATTCATAAGAGTCTCCTGTGGGCAGGATGCCATCAGGTATGGTGATCCCAGGTTCACACTCACAGCTACCATAAAGAAGACCACAGCGAGCATGCTGACCACAGGAAGTAGCACTGCAGGAGGAATGACCTAGAAGTACAGGGGGAAACAGTCATAATTCATTTTTACATAATCGGAAGAAAACCTCATATCTCCAAAATGGTAACTTTACAGGAGAAGTAAAAAACCTATTTTACTTTTAACGTAAGTCAATGGACCCAGACTTTTTTCCAAGGGATTTTGGGCCGTTTCTCTTGGTCCATCCATCATAAAATTTACAAACAATGTAAAGGGTAACAGGCATTTTCAAATTTTGTCAAAAGCTGAAAAACATCAAAAATGGAGATATGAGGTTTTCTTCCAACAACAGCCATATATAAGTGACCTCCTCTCTTCTAATTTGTAGGCCTGTATTATGCCACCTTGAAAACCACAGTCTAAGTTGAAACACTCTTTATACCTTTAGGGTGAACAGGTGTGGGGTTAAACTCCTGTAGGCTAGACAGGCAGATATATAAATGGTTGCCTTTTGAATAGTTGCTGGGTTAATTCAAATTAGGCTGTTTTTGCTGCCTTGTTCCCATAAAAACTCTCTGGACTGAAGACTGAACAATACATTTTGAGACAATAGCTACATTTCTATTCAACATTTTAACACTTTAAAAAAGTTTACTTTTTGACTGTTACTCACGTGTGATGTAAGTCTCATTGGTTGGAATCAGATAATACAGGACCAGACCACCACCACAGTCTACATGCTGAGTACTGCCAGTGATGGCTTCACATGTGTTCAGGTCAAAATCAGAGTTTACACTGCCGTCATTGAGCACGACAGTGTTACCAACAAAAGTGAAGCTTAAGCAGTAGTAGACCATACGATCTCCTCCAATACCACTGAACTTATACCACCCCTCCTGCAAGCTACTGTCATTCACTCGCCATCCAGAGACAGAGGTGAAGTTGAAGCCAATGTTCCGCCATGGGTCAGACAGAGTCTCATGGGAAAGGCAAACATCTAAGAAGAAGAGGATGACATAGGTGTCTTGCCACGTTCTGTCTGATTGTACATACATTGTAAAACATGGCAAACACATAGAAAGAATTATACTATTTCAAACATTTAGATGATATTACCGTAATTCGGGCATTCTCCCCACTGTCCATCTCTGGTATAGTTGTTCGTCGTGCTGCACCACAAGACAGACCTATTGAGACTCATTGTGAGAACACATTGTGTGTAATAGTCTCCATCGTAAAAGAAGGGAAATACACATGGAGCTCCTGCAGAATTGCCATTAGTAGTGACATTATCTATGGGCAGAAAATAAATAAGAAGATTAATAATATGTCAAAAAATCACTTTAAGCACCAAAGTAGCACTTCTGATCACACAAAAAGTTCATTTATAAAAAAATGATTGAAAATAAGTTCATACAGAAAACAAAATGTGATGGAAAGCATCTTTTTTTTTTTCTCAACAAAATTTTTCTGTCCAAATTTTGAAGTATATGCACTGAATATTCCTAATAACTGACAATATAGCATGCTATGAAAACAACTTTTACATACCTGACAAAATTAGATTTAAAAGTTAGTAAGTTTAGTTCAATAATTTGCTCATTGAGACACTAAAATTAGAAAATACAAATAATATTAACACAGAAAGATTTTCTTTATCATTATGTTAATTTACAATTCCCAAACCTCTCCTTGAAGTTATTATCCAATACCTGTTTTATCCAATTAAAACTTCTTTACGTTAAACAAGAGTGCTGGTGATTAAATTGAACAAATCCAAAAGGTCCCTGAAAATCTGGAGCCAACTTTCATCCTCAAACTAGCACAAGATATCAACTACTCCACTGAAAACAAGAAATGCTCGTTACTTTTTTACTGTATTTCTGCTCATATCTGTTTTAATGATATGTGATGTTTTACAAGCAGACACTCACTAATTGCCATGACAAATGGGTTTAAACAGTGATCGAAGGTGCACAGTACTGTATATGTAATAGTATAATTACTACATTATAAATGTATTATAATTATATTATAAATGTATAATTGACAATGAAAATATTTATTTAAAGTCATTAACACTTTGCATCACAGTCTTATAATTTGCATTATAATTACACTTAAGTCTTATAATTCAAGAATTCCACCAGAAAAAATAAGCTATACAAAGAGGGTGGGGGGATTAAATGTTAGTAGTGGAGCAGCTGGTTCTGCCTCTGAGTATGACAAGTATTATACAAAGGTAGAGCTACAATTTACAAAGCTTTCAAAAGCATGAACAATCCAATAAAGCAGTAGTTATATGCATACACTGCACTGGACTTGCATCCATTCTTGTTAATGTTAAAATTAGTCCACAATATGCTGTTGGTTATACTACACTAGATTTGAAATGATATGAGAGCCTCTATTCTCGGAAAGATATATGGATATTAGTTTGTATCGGTGCTGTGTTGAAGGAGATGACTTACAGTGAACTGCAGTGGCACCAAGTGTGACTATAGTGAGCAGAACTATAGAAACCCCTGTTGGAGAGATATGAGAACATTGCATTTTCAGAATACCCACAATCATTTAGAAAGACAGATCTAGAACTGGAAGTGAGGAGAGAAGACTCACCTGGCAGAGAGGAGCTCATCTCTTTTCAGTGTAATGTGAGCAGTAGTAACAGAACACAGTGGCAGTGAAGCAGCATCCAGCTCAGTGCAGTAGTACACCTTTCAACACCTTGACATCATGCACAACTCGACCAATGAGGGAGCAGCAGGGTTTTTTTTTGTTTTTTTACTCTCTCCAGTTTGCTTATGTGCATTTAATGAGGACTAATGATGATATAAAGCCTTGTTAAAAGTGGGAAATATTTTGTCCATAAACACAAATATATATGTATCTTTTTACAATGCACGTAAAAGAAAAGTAATTATGGTGTGAACTTAATCCAATTACATCACTCATTTCCATTTAATGAAATTGAGTCAATACACAAGCTTTTTATTTTATTTATTTATTTATTTATTTATTTATTTATTTATTGCATAAAGTTCAATTGCCCATGGAACAAAATTAAAACTTTGCCACTTTTTTCCCACTGGAATTAAATTCTCCTCGGATCAAAATAAACTGCTTTCATTCAGTGAAATAGACTTATTTTTTTATTTTTGTTAATAAGTAAAACAGTTGACAACACAATTCATGGAATTCAAACAAACACATATCAGTGGTTAACCCCTTAAAAAAGGCCAGGGCTCACCAACAGGCCCCAGGTTTATAACAAGTTTATAACCTAAGAATAGCTCAGTAAGTTTGCATTAATGCCCCCTTACTTAATAATAAGCCTTAGTGTGGGATCTTAAGTGGTTAATCAAGATCTTGTTTTTTGCTCAGGAAAGGCCAAAGTAGACACTTCTAAATGGTTTATTCATTGTGTATTAAGCTTTATCCATTATGGCCTCTATTAGTACATAACTGGAGTTCTCTTTTGTGAAAAAAAACACTAAAAATGGCATTATTAATTATAATAATGCACAATAAACACTCTGTTAATGCCTTGTGATGCAAGCAATTGAACATGAAGTAATCACCTAAATCGCTGTAGGTTCTAGGTAGTGTCAAATGTGGATGTGAGCTGGACTTCTGGATAAATTCAGTACCTTTCCATAGTACTGTGATGGCTGGGTGTGCAGAAGGAGACTCTAGAGGCATGGTCTGCAGAGTTGCGCCATGCGCCATGCCCCCCTCCTTAGAAGGACATTAAATGGTGTCTTTCGACGTTTTTAATGCTGGTGTCTTTGGTTTAAGGTGTGCGTATGTATTATTTGTGTTATTTTATGTTGGGCTAGGGGTTAGTTAGCGTGGGTCTTGTGTTCACCAAGAAGCAGAGTTGCATGGCTAAAAGTGACCTTTCATGCTGTCTCTGGCTGTGTTTATGAGATGTTATGCTGGCATTAATAAAGAACACAGTATCACTACAGTTTTTGACTGAAAGTAATAAGAATAATTATTGAAAACTGTTTCATACAAGAGTGTTATTTATCCACATTTGGTTGTTAAAATGGCTTGAAACTAACTTAAATATCTGTCTTTATGTTTATGGCACCCAAAGATAGCCATAAAATGATCTTTAAAATGATGATACTCATCATTTTAAATAAAATAAAATGTGGAACACAAATAGACTTTTTGAAAGCTTTTTTAGCCTTTTTTAGAATACGAAACACATCTTGAAGCACTAGTGCCTTATTAAAGTCTTATTAGCGCTAATGCAGTAAACAGCCACCTGATAGGAATAATACAGTAATAAGATATGAATTAAGGTCATTAATCCATGCTTGACAATTTGCATAAAAAAGGCTTAACAATGTGTTTATTGTGCACTATACTATACGTTATCACAACTAATTCTGATTTTCATACAAAAGATCTCCAATTATATACTAATACAGATCATGATGAATACACGTAATGCACAATGAATAGAGCATTTAAAATGTCTAATTTGGGCTTTATTGCACAAAAACAGGACCATAATAAAACTCCAAGTCAAACAACTGCATTCATTTTTTGAGTGTATATGGGAATCTGTTTCACAACCTACATGACACTCAGCCCTAAGTGTTTCATTATGACCACTGTACCTAACCAGACCTTCAAAAAACCTAGGTGACACATACTGTAATGATGACTTTGTTTTTATGCTTTCAGTAATGATGTTCTGCTTTCACATGAAGTGTGTTTTATAGCACTGCAGTATCGCTAATGACATTTACATAAACAAAGGCTTTAACACCAACTTCTAATCTGCATAAACAAAGGTTTTTACAACTACTCCTGCTCTGCATACCTTCCTGGGAAGTCTTTGGGTCACATGCAAATGTTGTGGCTGTGATGCCCAACGACTGGACATTGACCTCACAGCCCCCAAGCCTCTAAGTCTTTTGGATGATGCCTGCAGCTACCTGTCTAAACATGATAGCATTAATAATTAATAATAAATATTTGTCCTTACAGCTGCAAATGTAACTTTAATGGCACATACATATGACACATAAAATACTACAACTATTATAGTTTATAGAATTATAGTTTATTCAATAAAATAAACTGAGGCAATATTAAAGATCCATTGAAACAAATAGAAAAAAAAAATACCTTTAATTAAAAGCTACGTTTAAGAGACATTTTCATCTATTTCATCTATTTACTGAGCCTAACTCTCTAATAAAACGTGTAACTGAGTTCAGTTCTGCAGATCTAAGATTCAGATATTCTTTGAGGTACACAAGTGCTTTAAGGCCATTTAGAGCTTTAACCCTTTAAATGGCCATGGCCATTACACGCTTCTATAACCTAAGAATAGCTCAGCTAGTTTGCATTGGAGTCCCTGTAGTTATTGTATAATTAGCCTTAGTATATGAAAGGCCTGGGGTTTTAAGACACAGTGCAGTTGACAGTGGTAATGTGTTATAACAGGACTAGTCCTGTACAACTATAATGACAAACCACAGTATTTTACTTCCAATGGTGTTGTGTCTTGGTACATTAACAATAATGCTAGCCTTTGCCTGCAGAACTGTATTGATCAGATTGCATCTGCTGACATAGTAATTGAGGGAGTTTGCACTGAGGTTGGGAGAGTTTTCTCCCTGCCAGACAGAGAACTGTGTGTATGTGCTTTGTTTGCTGCTTACTGTTGTTTTGTTAACTAAGTTTGAGAAAGGTGCTATAAACAAATTACATTTATTATTATTCTTCTTCTTCTTATTATTATTATTAATAATATTATTATTCCAAATTAAGTTATGTACATGTTTGTGTGTGTGTGTGTGTGTGTGTGTGTGTGTGTGTGTGTGTGTTCTATGATTATTATGACATATGAAGGGGAGATTGGGGATGGTTGCAACAAGTTTTATTCCTCTAATCAGAAACATGCTAGAGTGATGACACTCACATCGCACATGTTCAGTTACACCCCTCCCCCACCCCCACCAGGAAGACAGATAACACTTTCAACATCAGCTGCTGCATTTATTGGGGGAAAAAATATATATATATATATAAAAAAAAAACTTGTTCTGGAGGAATGAGAGTAGTTTTTTCATGAGCTGTATTTGTTGTCATAGAGTGCTGAGCTTTTGTATGTATTAATCAAAACTTACTGAGTTGGGATCGCTGTTTTGTTGACTTCCAAGTGGCATAGTTAGCATGTGTGTCAGTGTGTCAACACATGATGTTCTGTTGTAATGCTGCACAAGCACAGAAAGACGCTTGCAGATCTTAAAAACAGAAGTGGTTTAATGAGAGAACAGTTTCAGGGCAAATCCAAAATCAGAATCCATAAGCCAAGCAAAAAGTCAAAAAACTGGACAATACAAAACACACTAGTGACCAGAGCAAAAGGGCAAACACAGAAGAGCAAAATCCAGAAAGCAGACAAAAGGTTCAGGGCACAAGTCAAACAATCAAAGAAATACTGCTCAGTAGTCCAAGAAATTGGCAATACCTCGCAAAGATGAGAACAAACCAAGGACTATTTAAGTTCTGAGACAAACACAAACACAGGTGATTAGAACTAGAAATCAGGTGACCGAGAACGAGGCAGTTGCACGTGATTGGAGGAATTGGTGACATCATTGGGACTGGAATTATGGGAAATGGAGTGGAGAGTGCTAGGCAAGGCGGGGGGGGGGGGACCCGGAAGCGTGACATCTGTCGTGGGTGATCTGATGGGCACGGTGACAACAAGTTATGGCATTCATCCCCAAGCTAAGCAGCAATATCAAAATTTACCGCACGGCAGTGTTTAACATTTTTAGTTCAACATAGGCACAATTTATCTGTTTCATTGCTTATGATGAACAGAATGAGCGAATATATCATAAGACCATGTGAAGCTAATGATACAGAAAATAATTTCCAAAACAATGACAAAATAATCTAAAAGTAGAATCTGTATTCTGTTTGTTTATCAGTAGGCTATGCCAAAAGCAAGGAAGAAGATGGGGTTCCCCTCAATATTTTGGTAAAAGCCTCAAATATGATCAGGTCAAAGGCACCTCAAAGGTACAACGGTGGTTTTAAGGTCTAATTATGAACCTTAAATAAGTTTTTCATGACCTAATCTTTTAAAACAGAATAATAAAATAAAAAGCCTGCAGACGAGACGGGGTGTGTGGAGTCACTACAATGTAGAAATATAATTTCAATGGATTATGGCACAGTTATGCTTCCTAAAGGTACTGAGATGTACCCTTGATGGAACCACCACAGTGACAGGAGGTGTACTGGACCAGTGACAGTAAACTACCTTTATTTCTGAGATTGTACTACAACAAGAGGCAAGGGTCCATACACGGGCAAACGGGGCAATGCAGGATAAGCTAAATCAGAATGAGGGAACATGAGCTAGAGATCACTACATGAAAGAGTCAAAAAGGGGTCAGGCTAGAACCGAGAATGAGAAAAAGAGCAAAACAAACAGAGACGTCAAACACAGAAATGCACAGTAGACTGATACACTACTTCACCACAATAAAGCTATGGACACAAACAGGTTACAAAGGCACTAGAACAGGCATCAACAATCAATAATCAGGTGAACGGGAGCGCGGATAGGTGGATGGTCAAGTGTCCATGGTCATGGGATCCCCAGAAGATTCTGGGAGTTGGAGTTCTGAACGGAGTGAGGAGTGCTTAGTCTCTGCTAAGCCAGCAGGAGGCGTGACGTCAGGGATGAAGGCAGGACAGTCAGGACAGTGATAAATATTACAAAATAAATCATAAAACTGTAAGATTAGTGTATAAATAAATAATAATATGATATTATTGTAGAGCAATGCACATTTCATGAATACTATGCTTATTGAGATAAAAAGCAAAAGTTGTTAGTGAAATTTAATGCATTTTTAACATGTAACAATTGTCTTTAGGGTTGAGATCAGGTGCAACATCTGATTTCTTCCATTCAAATAAATAGTCATATGTAAGCTTCCTTAAATAATATAATTAACTAGCAGACAGATGTAAGTTTAATATGTAAAATGTGATTGGCCTAGTCCAAATACTCCCTCAGTTACTACTGAGAGAAATGCATAAAAAAGTGTTACAACTGTCCCCAGTCTCCCCTACATGACTATGGGTTCAGCCTAATGGCAGATACTTTATTAAAATAAATAAAATTGAATGCTATTCACACTTTTAACTGGTAATCTGTAGTCTGAGTTAAGCAGCAATGTACAGTGGAGTGTAGATTTTCTCTTCCAGGAAAGTCTATCACAAACTATCTGCTTCTAATCGAAACACAAAAGTCATGTACAACAGAGCTGGACTGGTTATTCATTAAAAAGAGGAAAAAATAATAATGAGAAGGTGGACGGAGAGCAGTCAAATTTATATTTGCATGCACCCCGGTGAACGCCATAAAACCCACACAATAGTTAATCATTAAAAAGCATGTGAGTAAGAGAGAGAAAGAGAGAGAGAGAGAGAGAGAGAGAGAGAGAGAGAGAGAGAGAGAGAACATTTAAATTATGTAAAAGAACTTCGGTCATCAACTTCAAGTACATTTTACAACCCAATCCTCTGTATCAGGGGTCTCATACTTATTTTAGATAAGAAACCAATTTTCATTCAGTCCAACGTCAAATAGGTCAGACCAAAAACAAACAAACAAAAAAAAATTGTTTAGTAGATCAATGACACATCAACTCTTTGTAACTGCGATTATTTTTCTTATCAGGCTAGTTGGTGCAATTTTAGGTGCTGATGATGCGTCATCTTCAGCACAAGGTCTTTTACCACGCTTTGATGTAAAGAACATATGTGTGAATTAATATTTATCTTTAGAATGTGGTAATCGCAAATGTGAGCACTGTACAGTCCTGTAATCTGACTAATGTATTAAGCTGTGAGCTAAGCTAAAAAAGCTAACACAGCTAGCTAACTGATCTTAAGGTGCTGGTGCCTATCCCAGCGGTCACTGGGCAGAAGGCAGGATACACCCTGGATGCCAGTACATCGCAGGGCTAATTTAGAACATGGGTTCTATGTTCATCTGGCAGGCTGGATAAGATTCATATTTGGCCAGGTTCCAGCTCCTGACTGTATGTTTGACACCCCTGCTCTTTGAGCACACCTCATCAAACGTTTTTGTTGATTTTCTAGGTGAAAATAAGTTAACACATTCTCTACAGACAGCAAAATTAAATATGGTATTTTTCTGTAAATTTTACTGTACAATTTCTGTTTATAAAATATAAAACATTACCTATAAAATGCTGAAATGTGCAGAAAGTGTGCTCTCTGTAGGGGGTGCATTAACTTATTTTCACTTACAAAATCAACAATAGATGTCTTTTGATCAGAGATGCCCAGACTTTGCATACGATTCTAAATACGCTAACCATGTATGTTTATTAGGTCCACCTACCTTCTACCTACTCTCACTGGCCTTCTTATCAGATACATCTACCATACAGATGCAATTGTGTTGCTTCACAAACTGTCACGGTAGTTGGCAGTGTGTGGCACACTCCCCTCTAGTTCCACCTTTCTGGTGGGCAGTTAGAGACTGAGGTCCATCTGTCGATGCACAGTTTGTGTTAACCATCCTCTGGTACAGAACTGTCCAGTCTAATCCGCAAATGACCGGTTGGGTGGCAGGTTTTCATCCCAGCAAAGGAGCCAGGGGCGATTCTAGGATCAGACACAATGAGAGTAGACACCCCCCCCTCGTTTAATATTTTTTTTTTTCTCATCATGCCCTTTATTATTCTATAATGTTAATTAGCTGATACACATACAGACAGTACTAGTCCAGCACACATTGGCTTTAATATAAACACATAGACATACCAATGGCACAACAGCTTCCTTCTCTCACTCGAATTCAAACAGTGGACAGTGGTTGATTGACAACCTGCAATATTAGCTTGCTATATATATATATATATATATATATATATATATATATATATATATATATATATATGTCATATAGCTACTCCTGCCTAACATTAACAGGAGTGTTGGTGTTGAATGATAAGAAATCCTCATCTATACTAATTACTGAAGCCACCACACCACACAGTCGCACTGTAACTGGCTCTAGTGCACGTGTGTGTGTGTGTGTGTGTGTGTGCGTGTGTGTGCGTGTGTGTATGCGTGCGTGCTCAGCACAGCTACTGCAGGGCTTTGGGGAGAGCGGGGCAGGGGAAGAGTAGGAGAGAGAAAGTGGATCATACATTTGCTTTTCAGAAACAAACTTCCATTTCTAAGAAAAAAACACAAAATATGACTTTTTACTCTTATTTTTAGGGGTGCTAGGACTCAATTTAGGGGTGCTTGGGCACTCCTAAAAAGGCGGTAGGCACGCCTACGGCTGGAGCACACTTGATCAGTTGTTTGAAGACTGAAACCAAGTGACTGAACGAGCAGAATTGGGTGTGATTCATTTGGTGTGACTCCTGCCATCTGCTCTGCTCTAATCAGTCCTCAGTTTCTGATTGCAAAGCTGCTATTGGCTGGATTTTTCTGGGTGGCATTCCACTCTCAACCTAGCAGTGATACTAATGTGTTTAAAAACCCCATCAACACTGCTGTATTCATAAACACTTCTCCACTTGTGCCTTTTCCAATAAAGAAGAACTTCACTAGGAGTGCTAACATTTAATCCCAAGAGGGTTAAACGTAGGATAAATGACGTTTTCCTCAACAGTATATCGACTGCTGAATTAATCTTTTGGCACAATAAAATTTAAAGAAGACAGAGTAAAAAGGAGATAGAATGATAAAGTGCAAAATGCGAATGCTTAAGAAAAAACAAATAATTAAAAATGGGTTGAAAGTATAGGCAAAATGTGTCTAAGTGTCAAAGCACTTCATGACCAAAGTGGTGAAATAAGGTGATTTTTTGTTTTGGCTGTTCAGAAATGAGGTGTATCACTGAAAATAATATAGTTTTTCAAAAATAAAGGAGAGGACTTTTAATTTGAAAAATGTCTCTCCATAAAATGGCATAATAGTCCATATCAATGTCATGTAAAACATGAATGTTTATTGAATTTTGATATAAACATTAATGAGCATTGATGTTATGAAATATTTATGTAAGATGTTATGAATGTGTTATGTAGACAGCCTTCAAGTAAAGTGTTACCAACACTACCATGCCAGTGTCACTGACTGTGGACCACCAGCCAAATAATGTCTGGTAAGCAGTGGTCATTTGGTCATCTCTTTCCATTGATGGTGGAGGGGGATGATAATTTTGCAGCAACAAATAGGCTACAGTCAATAACTGTAAACCTACAAAGTGCAAATATATGGTAGCTGTATCTTATAAATTGCAATATCAGTTGTGCACATAATTCCTTGCTGCTTGCATACGTTAGTCACTGACTACATTAGTGACAATTTCAACATAAATTCAAAAGAGAAATGGACATCAAAACATCATAATAAGTCATTACATATGTAGTGTATTCTTTGGGTTCATATATATTACAGGTGTAGAGCTCCCTCTAGTGGTCTTTACTATCCTCATCAGTAATTGCTTCACTAAGTTTCTTCTAAATGTCCTACACAAACCCAGAAAACTGTTTCTAATGTAGAAAAGAAGACATTAGATATTCTGTATCACTGTAGAAGCTCCAAGCAGAGACTATTTGGCAGATGGTCTCTGATAGAGCAGGGTGGGTTTATTGTGGACTGCACTGTTCATGTAGATATTGAAACTGTTGTTTAATTCAGGAAGTTAACTTTAGCCCAGTAAAACCACGCATGATGTAGAGGATGTGAGAAGGGGGTGGAGATATGTGCTGGACACAAGTAACAGGAACTCACCAACACACAGAATCAAATGTCTTTATTTTAACATGCTCTCTGTACTCTGAGGGCCTTTCCTTCAAGATCTGATGCAGCAAACTGCACCTTCTTAGCCAACTGAAAATCTGCCCAATGGATAAGATGCTCTAGAAGGAGACAGAAGGACAGTATGGTTGAAGATCAGTTTGTTTGAATCTAGCAGAAGCCTCAGTCATTACTCTGCTTTGTGAGGAGAACAGTGAAGGAGCCCAATGAGGAACCTCAGAGTCACCATCTTCATGCTGCTCTCAGGTCAGTAAGTTATTCAGCTGTTCTTTATATAGAGTAAGGAAATACATATGTCTATGCATCGTAGCAAGATAACGAGTGAATTAAATAATAAGCTTGTTTTTCATTTAATGAATGAGCTTTAATGAAGTAGCGGCCTACTTAGAAAAATGTCTGTATTTGCTGCGTTTTCATAATAAAGTGTGTCTGTTTTCTCACTTTTGAAGAAGTTGTGAGCGGCATGCTACATGATGAGATCACAGAGACAGGAACAGATGGAAACGTCGCTGTCATCACCTGTCCTTATAGTACTGGATATGAATCTTACACCAAGTATTTCTGTAAGGGAGGCTATTTACACTGTGTAACACTTATAAAAAGTCATGGGATGGACTCATTCACATATAAAGGAAGAATCATTATGAATGACAACACTGAGCAAAAAAAGTTGGTAGTGACCATCAGTGACCTCAGAATGGAGGATGCAGGAGATTACGGCTGTGGAATCGAGTTAACAGGACGAGACCCTTTTACTTTAGTCCGTCTGAAAGTGAATAAGGGTATGTGCTGTTTATGAGCTTCTCAGCTTATGGTTTATATTCTGTGTTCACTGTGGGGGTCATGATGGGTTGAACCGTCTGATTTCTCTCCATCAGCTCCTAAGCCACCAAAAATAACCCAACCAAAGCTCCGCCAGTCTCCACCACCACCTGCCACCAAAAACAGCCAAAGAAATGCTCCCACACTCTCCACCAATAAAACAACAGGTAAGCCACCAAAAACAATCCGACGTAGAACATTTTTTACCACAATTGCCACCCATTCCCCAAAAGGTAAGCTGTTCCTAGAGCATACTCCTAGACCTCACAATGTTTTACCATCAATAAGCCACACTGACTCTCACTTCCCCTTCAACTTTGCTTTCCTGCAGTTTTATGCTAAGTTTTCAGGTGTTAAAAGTACACATTAGAAGAACAACGTAGTGAATGTGTACATTTAAATCTCAAAATAACTGTATACTATCAAAATAATTAGAAATGACACATCTCAATTTGGATTTTCTCAATATAGAATACCAATAACCTAGAATTTTTGGGATTGTTTTTTGGCATTTTGGGTCAATTACAATTGCAATTATAAAGTATTCACATGTGACAGTCACACATGCCATAAGTTGTTATTTTCAGGAGAACCTGGGCTACTCAGATATGCCATTGTTTGACATGTAAATGATAACAGAAATTTCATATCTTTATGAATTTGGCTAATTTTTGATCAAAAATGTACCTAGCGCCTGCACAATTTTATATTTTTTAATTATAGAGATCTTGAAAACAAGTGCAATAATAGTTATCTTTTCAGAAATTGTTTGTCTGGAGTGTCTGTGAGCTGAAAGTGCAATAATTTTGATGGTGATTCATTCTATTAGTTATTGTTAGTAAAAATAAACAATTAGCATAAGGCGGACATGTTTTTTTTTTATTGATTTTCTGTCCTCTTGGATTCATGCTCAGTCCTAAAACTCTGATACACAGCAAGACAGGCTTTATTTTTAATTAAAAACTGAGTTGCATATTTAATATCAGATATTTGTCATATTTATTGTTATTTATCTGTCAAATGTGTTTTAGGGCCTGTTTGATTTTGAGGGAAAGAGGGAGAGTGCACTCATTATGTTGAATGGGACACTGCAGTTTTATTGCCTTTTTCTGACTTTTTATTTAGGAACCTCAATAAATTATTCCGTAATCACCATGTACTTATGAGAATAAAAAAAAAAATAATAATAATAAAAAATGTAGATTGGACCCACCTAAGGACCCTGAGAGTTTAACGTGTTAAAGTGAATGCTCATCCATTACAACCTGCTATGAGACCAGCAATGTGTCAGATCTCAAGTTATACAACAGTTATTTCCGACCTTACAATCTGAGTGGTTGAGAAGCATTTTAAGTGTGTTGATGTTTGTGACACCAGCACAGCTTTTTCACCCCAAAACTGTATCACTCCACTGACATGTTGCCAAGTAATGAGTGACATGTTGCAGAGAAATGACAAGCTTTATGCACACAAACCTCAGATGTTTTGTATTTGTGCTTAATACAAAACGAGACAGCGATAAAATTGATTTTAAAATAACATTTGACCTCCAGCTCATTGTGCCAGACTATGAATAAGACCGGGACTGCATCACCATGGAAACTGTCAGGTCAAGTGTAATGATGGCAAAACAACTGAACATGCTGGAATTGGCTAGAGACAATCAACAGTACAATTCAGCAAACAAGATGAGCTACAAAGTGCTTTACAGACTGGCTGTTAGAAAATAACATTCAGGTTAATTTGGTAACAATTGAAAAGGCTAAGCTGAACATGATATCCCCATGACCCAGAATTATGAGCGGTTTAGATGATGATGTGTGTGTGAACTTAATATTTCTGCAGTTCTATGACTCTATCCACAAACACAAAAGGAGGGTTTTATAATATCAGCAGGTATCTTGGACTGTGCACAGAGATCAAGAGACCAGAGCAACCCAAATGTTAAAAAGAGCCATTTTGTCATTCTACACCTTAGGAGCCACATTTTATGTCCATTTTACCATCTTGGTTGTAAATACAGTATGTTTCAGTATGTGCTAATGTGCTAGTATGGGCTAAAAATATAAACAAAAACTCAGACTTACTTTGCTCTGCTTTAGGCTTTAGCTCAGCTATAGCTGGTTTTCTTGCATGTGCAGTAGGAAACTTTTCTGCAAAAGGAACAGTTTCTTGTAAAATGTCTCTCAAAGTTCGACTTTTTATGAGGCTGAAGTCAGTTTCTCATTAGCAGTTGGTCAGCATAGAGATAAACAAGATTTCTGAGAACAATATGCAGATGAGCTGAAGTGTGAAAGAAACAGGAAACCACAGCTGAACAAGACGTGGCTGCCAAGAAATATACTTGCAGGTCAAGACGTTCTGTCCTGACACACAGACATATGATGATTCATTTAATGACCTTGGTGTGCTTGTAGAACAGTTTTGTACAAAAAAGATTCTCCTTTTAGGAAAATCCACAGAAATTACTTTCATTGCCCTCTTTTGTTCCCTAGGAACAACACTCTTAAAAAGTAGTGTCCACCACCAGGGCCGGGCGAAAAACCTGCAACAAGGCCCAATTAGTACAGGAAAAAAGTCCCAGCCTTCCCAAATTTTGTTTTGGTGTAGGATATTCATACTACTAGGTGGATTTGAGCATGCTCGGGCATTTGCTCAAAATGGAAATAGTCAAAATTTAAACAAATGAAATAATCGACAGACCCATTGCCAGTGTATTCATGAGAGCAATTAGAAACTTGTTCACACAACAGAGGGACAGATGCCATGGCAAGGGTAGAAGATCTTTCAACAAACATTGAATTAAAGATCAAGCACAAGGTATAACACAACTCAAACATAAGCAAAAAGTTATTTAAAATGTTCACTCATGCAGAATTATGTACTTATGAACTTCGTGCTGTGTGACAGGCAGCGTAGGTTGCTAGGAGAGAGATTACTAGCACATCATCCCGCAGTGTGCCATCAATAGCTCATCTTGATCAAATCTGTCTTCTCAAAGTCCATTGTGGATAGGTGATAATCTATCTGGACTGCAGTCTTCATCAGATGAGGTCCACCTACAGCAATTCACATTCACATCATGTCAATCAATGCACATCAGCTTTTTCGGGTTACTAAAAGAAGAGAAAAACAACAAAAAGGACACAACCAAATATTTACAACTCAATCTATCTGGGGGGCCCATTTTATTCTACTAGCATATATGTATTGCAGTTGTGCATTAGTCAAAACAGCTGTTCTGGTTACTGCAATGACAGTGCATGGTGGTCCGTAGAGTGCTTCACACCTTCCTGGAAAGCAAACGTTTAAATAGTACCTTGTGGCCTTGTTTAAACAGGTGTGTTGGTTGGTCTGTGGGGAGAGGGAGAGAAACAGCAACACTAACTTGAATGCTGGTTAACTTGTCAATCAGGGCGGCCGTGTAATCCAACACAATTATGTCTATGTCACCACTGTTCATCGGACCAGGTTCACCTTGCACCCACAACGTTGGGAACGCTCGTCCCATCAAAACCTCAAAAGGAGACAATGGTTCTTTGTACATATCAGACATGCATCTAAAATCAACTTTGTTGTTTTTGTCACTTCTGGAATACACTATCTTCTGTTAATATTTTCAGTCACCTCTCTTCATGCAACATGTGAAGGCAATGCTATGCGAACCTCAGGACAGGTCAAAATGCCATCAGAATGGTCATTACTATTGTGTGAGGACCAGTAGTCCTTATCTACTTGTGAGGCAATTTATTGCATTATGGTAATGTCAGTAATGCTAGGATCAGTGGAAAATGGATAAGAGAAAACTGAGAAAGAACAATTTTGCTGATTAATGTATGGGTATGGTGGGCCATTTTTTGTGGCGTGTCTCGCAACAGCATCTCCTAAAAAATTACCAGCTGCTTCCTATCCCGAAACTAGGGGACTCATGGCCCTTAACTTTGACAATAGCCAGTCTCCTGAGTAAAGTGCAAGCATAAAATAAATCAGAAATCAGTGTGGAGTTAGATATTGGTTTCCTGTCAGCTGTTACAAACCCACACTGGGCCCAGATACGACCATAATTATGAGCTGTGCCCCAATTATACCTGCTGTCAGTCAGGATGCTGATGTCTCGATCTTTAATTAGAGTACATGCCCTAATGAGGGCCACAAGTTCTACCATCTGTGCTGACTGATGAGGAAGTGAGTGTGCTTCAATTACCAAATTAGGAAGTTGACATACAGCATAACCACATAGAAAAAACACCATCACAGGGCTTAGAGCATGAGCCATTTACAAAAACCTTTTCACCTTGTTTCAGTGGCGATGACAACACATCAGCACGGCAGGCAGACTCTTCCACAATGTCAGCACAACAGTAGTGAGTGTCACGCAGAAACTCGGAATCAGGGAGAGACAGAATTTGATGTAAATGAAAAGCTGGGGATTGTGGTGAACAGGTTTTAATAGACAGATTGTTAGTACATGTCAAAATGTCCTCGTAACAACTATCATACAGTGTTTCAACAGTGATTGTATTACACCATTAATTCCTTCCTCCTTTTCTCTAGACAAAGGGTATTGCTTGCAGCACACTTACTGTTGTGTTGACAATTGGGCTTTATACAGTTCACAATTTAATAGACCTACATGGTCCTTGCATTCTGCTCATAATGATTTAGGGATTCCCCGATTATTTGGTTACTGACAGCTGAGGTGTTTTTGATCATGAAATTGGCACCCCACTCATTTCCACAGAATTAATTTTGGCAGTTACACTGGCCCATTATATTCATAACCACTAATTGAAGAAAATGTCGCCCCACTGTCTACAAGAAAACTAAACCTTTTGCAAACTACATACAGTTCCATAAGTGGCAAATCACCAGAAATAATAGTTAATGTCAAAGCATTGTCAAATTGGGTGCATCTTCAACAACTCAGGGGTGTATTCTGTAGGCAGACCTACGCATCCATCAGTTTCCAGACAGCAAGTTGTCCGGTGTGTGTTTTAGGGCCCCCTGTCTGATTCTGAGATGGTTTTGAGATTGACTTTCATCAGAGCACTTTTTTCTACATTATCTGATCCAATGCCCCTCTTTTCCACAATAACATGCCCCTTGCCTCTTCCACTCATTATTTTGACCCTAGTACCTGAGATTTCTATAATCTAGACCTGAGAGCTGGGAGTAACTAGACATTGGTGTGGGGATGGGAGATTGGAAACAATCTGTTTTATTACAGTAAGATCAGGTGCTATGAGCATTACCACATGGAAAAAGGTGCAGCAATATTCTGCTGACTTGGTCTTTTTGTTAACCTTCCTTGCCCTTTTAGGGGTGACATATTTATCTCATTCAATTTTTATTTTACTCCATGTCATCAGACAATGCACCATATATTCATAATCCCATTTGGGATCCCCTACACAATCTCTTATGCATATTGCTGCTAATCTCATGTAAGTTTCCTCGAAAGATCCATCTCTCGGACATGTCCAATGAAAATAAGAATGAGATCCTTCTGTCCATCCCGCCAAATTATCTAGCCACAGGACGGTGCCCTCACCTAAATTATTCCTGTCCATCCAGTTCCTTGGGCTTTCCCCAGAATTAGATTTTACAGTTTTAACCCCCATTTTTATTTAGAGAACAAACAGAGTGGAGGTTGGGATCAGTCTTCGCTACTTGGCTGGAACAGTAACGGATAACCCAAACAGACTAGTGTATCCTATCTTTCAAGGATTCCCCTTAGAATTCACACCCCTAATCTGTTCAATATTGTAGCCCCTGTTCTGATCCCACCTTGACCTTGCTCTGTCTGCCTGTTCTCCTTCAGAGCTCTGGGAGTGCGGAAGAAGCAAAGACACACACATACGTGCATCAAAGTTCTGAGACACACTCATTTATTTTGGTACGGAAGGGCCTTTTTATACACTTAGCAGACATGGCTGGTCAATACAGAGATAAAAAAGATTTCTAAGAGCAATATGCAGATGAGGTGTGAAAGAAATAGGAAACCAAGGCTGAACAAGACATGATTGCCAAGAAATGTACTTGCAGGTCAAGATGTTCTGTCCTGACACAGACATATGATGAATAATTTAATGAACTTGGTGTGCTTGTAGAACAGCTTTGTACAAAAAAGATTATCCTTTTAGGGATTCTTTCTCTGCTGCATAGCAAGAACTCATTTGTTGTGGAACTACTTTTTGGCTGAAGATATCGTCAGTATTAAAGCATATTCAGTTTAAATTTCAGGGCTTATTTGATTTATTTTGTTTATTTATTTTGTAAAAACTGTTGTATAAAAGCAATTGAACATTGAAGGTCATGCCTTATTGCGAATAACATCACAGCTCTATGGCACTTGCCTTCGGCTCATGCATGTGACTAAATCACAGCCGTGATGTTATTCGTGATAACACTCTCCCTCTGGTGTTCTATTGCTCATTAAATGTCTGCTTCTCAAGTGATTAATAAGCATATCATTCCGAAGCAAGATTAGAAATGTGGTATTAATGTATTATGATGCATTTATAAGGTCTTCATAGCTAATTCTTTGGAAACTATTCCCAGGTGATTTGTAGGAATTTACTTATAGAATTGTACTGTTTATTGTATACTCTGGTGGTCACTTTCCATTGGTAAAAAGGGGTTGGTAGGGAGGGGTGGGGGGGGGAGTGAGAGGTGATAAATTCTGCAAAAACAAAATTACCTGATAAAATGGCCAACTAGTGTAAGTACAGTGTTTAAAATAACAAGCTGTTTTTACTGTCTTTGTTTTGAATATATAGCTCTGAATGTATCACCAACCATCATCTCCTCTGCACCTCGTTCAGTCACAAACTTCCTCAACCAGCCCAGTACATCTGAAACAGGTCTGGATCCACAGTACAGTCTATTTAATATGAACATATAAACAGCAATGGCATATACTAACTTATACTCAATGCATGAAGGATTCAGTTTTAAAATTCAGTTGTTAGGAAATATCTAAAAACATAGACAAGTTCATGTCTAAACGCACGAGGCATGGTTTGTAATTCTTTTTCATTTGGTGTTCCACCGTTGCAGCTCTCAGCTCTACTGAAGCCCCGTATCTGGCTGTCTTCATCCCACTGAGTGTAGGTGCTGCCCTGCTGCTGTTTGTTGGTGTGTCTCAGGTTTTTTATGACAGACTAAAAAAGAACAGTGCAGGCAATTCAGGCTCAGGTAATAAAATAAACTTACATGTACACAAATACACAGAGGTGCACACACACACACAAACACAGATTAACACGTGCTATCTTATATGTGTGTTTTTTCAGTCAACTGTCACCACTCAAGTGGGCCAGTCACAGGAAGTGCTGAGGTAGGTGAAAGGGCTTATGGGTGCCTAAATGTTCTACTAACTTACGCTAACTTTCAAGTATATGAAATACACCTAGCATATAGGCTCAGTTTATAGGTATTCAGTTACCGATTATACATGTGTATCAGGCACAGCAATATTGCTGGGGCTTATACATGTCAGAGTCAGTGCAAGTTTGAAGTTGGTCCATGATCCATAAATATCCAGCTTTGCAGTCAGATGCTGACCATTGATAAAGGGCAAGAAATTGGCTAACACAAACTGGGCATGGAAAAAGGAACTGTAGTAGCCTCTAACTGGGTGTACTAATGATTTAAGTTTGTCTAATTTAGTAGCCAGTGTATACACTGTAGGTGAAAACCATGAAGCCACACAATCTATGCCCCTAACATGTCAGTGTTCCTGCTGTGCTGAGAATGGTCCACTCCCAAATATCTGATTAGTGGTGGTCCTGTGGTGGTGCTTCCTCATTGATGGGTAAAAGGAGGTGATACATTGTATAGTAACAGATAATTACATAAATAAATAAAAATATAAATACAGTTAACCCTTTACATGGCCAGGGCCTGCTGGCAGGCCCAAAGTTTTATTACACACTTCTATAACCAGCTCAACCAGTTTGCATTGAAGTCGGTGTAGTTACTGAATAATAAGCCTTAGTACACTATATGGACAAAAGTATCGGACACCTACAGGAGCTTTTATGACACCCCATTCCAAATCCATTGGCATTAATGTGGAGTTTGCAGCTAAAACAGCTTCCACTCTTCTGGGGAGCTTTCTACAAGATTTTGGTGTGTGTCTGTGGGAATGTTTGCCCATTCATCCAGAAAAGCATTTGTGAGGTACTGATGTTGGATGACAGGGCCTGGCTCGCAATCTCTGTTGATGGGGTTGAGGTCAGGGCTCTATGAGGGCCAGTCAAGCTCTTCCAAACCAAACTCACCCAACTATGCTTTTATGGACCTTCCTTTGTACACTGGGGCTCAGTCATGCTGGAACAGAAAAGGTTCTTCCCCAAACTGTTCCCACAAAGTTAGAAGCATACAATTGTCCAAAATGTCTTAGTATGCTGAAGCATTTTTAATGTTCTCCTGGCATTCGTCAAAACCAAACTCATCTATCAGACAGTCAGATAGAGAAGCGTGATTCATCACTCCACAGAATACATTCCACTGCTCCAGAGTCCAGTGGCGGTGCTTTACACCACTCCATCCAATGCTTATCATTGTTCTTTGTGATGTAAGGCTTGCATGCAGCTTCTCAGCCATGGAAACTCATGCCATGAAGCTCCTGGTGCAAAGTTTTTTTGTGCTGATGTTGATGCCAGAGTAGTTTTAAACTCTGCAGTTATTGATCAGCAGAGCGTTGGTGACTTTTGTGCTGTATGCTACTCAGCACTTGGCAACCTGCTCTGTAACTTTACATGGTCTGACACTTCATGGCTGAGCTTCTGTGGTTCCTAAACGCTTCCATTTTTTTAATAATATCACTCACAGTTGATCATGGAATATCTAGGCGAGAAAGAAGTTTTGCAAACTGACTTGTTGCAGCAGTGGCATTCTATTACAGAACCATGCTTGAATTCAGTGAGCTCTTTAGAATGACCTATTCTGTCACAAATGTTTGTAAAGGCAGACTGCATGGCAAGACGCTTGATTTTATACACCAGTCGCAACTGGACTGAACGAAACACCTGAATTCAATGATTAAGAGATGTGTCCCAATATTTTTGTCCATATAGTGCATGTAATAAGCCTGGGGTTTTAAGGGGTTAAAATTCTCTTATTTTCAAAAAAAATAAATAAATAAAAAAAATCACTATGTTTTTGGGCTCGTTTTAGGAACACACTTTGCTTCCAGATATTTTCTGGATGCTAAACCAGGTATTGGATGATAAACTACAAATAATACTGGAAGAGGTTACATGAACACTTTCAAGTTCAAAAAACTACTGCTTATTATTTTAATGTTAATTGTATTTATTCCAATATTAGATTTTTGTAAGCAAATAAATGCCTACTGTCTAGATAAATAACCAAAAGAGTACTTATTGAATAGCAACCGTAACTAGTGTTTATAAGTAAGAAGTAATAAGCAATACGAACATCTGTTAATTAATCATTGGGATACTTTTGAAAACCCCAAATTAGTTAATAAAGCTTAGAGAACATTTAGATGTCAAATGAATTGGAAATTAAAATTCAGGAACTAAAGAAATAAGATAATGAAATTATGAAATAATGATTTTTCCAAACAGAATACACTTCTAATTTATTTTAACCTCTTAAAATCTCAGGTTTATTACATGCTAAGGCTTATTATTCAGTAACTACAGGGACTTCAGTGCAAACTGGCTGAGCTGTTTTTAGATTATAGAAATGTGTAATAAAACTTTGGGCCTGCCCATGAGCCCTGGCCATTTAAGGGGTTAAATTGTTTGTTTATGTTTCTAGTATTGTGTAGTAGTCTACATGATCAGTTCTCTTAAAATTCTGTTGTGTTTACTGTTCTAGGATGGAACAGACTACGAAAATAATTCAACTGGAAATCACAAATCTGTGACAATGAGCCTGGACTACAAGAACCTAAACCCCAACACCCAGCAATCAGGTTCAGTCTACCAGAGCCAAACCCCCACACCAACCAACTGGATTCAGTCTACCAGAGCCTAAACCCCAACAACAACCAATCAGATTCAGTCTACCAGAGCCTAAACCCCAAAACCATCCAATCACATTCAGTCTACCAGAGCCTAGACCCAAACACCCAGCAACTAGGTTCAGTCTACCAGAGTCTAAACTCCAACACCATCCAATCAGATTCAGTCTACCAGAGCCTAGACCCAAACACCCAGGAACTAGGTTCAGTCTACCAGAGTCTAAACCAAATACCAACTGTTCAGATTCAGCCTACCAGAGCCTTGACCCCAACACCAACCAATCCAATTCAGCCTACCAGAGCATAAACTCCAACACCTGTCAATCAGATTCAGACTTCCAGAGCCTAAACCCCAACACCAACCAATCAAATTCAGTCAACCAGAGCCTAAAGCTCAACATCAAACAATGAGATTCAGTCTATCAGAGTCTAAAACGAATACCAACTGTTTAGATTCAGACTACCAGAGTCTAAACTCCAACACCAGTCAATCAGATTCAGTCTACCAGACCATAAAGCCCAACACCAACCAATCAGATTCAGTCTACTAGAGCCTAAAGCCCAACGCCAACCAATCCAATTCAGCCTACCAGAGCCTAAACCCCAACACCCAGCAACAAGGTTCAGTCTACCACTCTAAACCCCAAAACCAACCAATCAAATTCAGTCTACCAAAGTCTAAAGCTCAACACCAAACAATGAGATGCAGTCTATCAGAGTCTAAACTGAATACCAACTGATCAGATTCAGTCTTCCAGAGTCTAAACTCCAACATCAACCAATCAGATTCAGTCTACCAGAGCCTAAACCCCAACACCCAGCAACTAGGTTCAGTCTACCAGAGCCTGAAGCTCAACACCAAACAATCAGGTTCAGCCTACTAGAGCCTAAATCCCAACATCCACTGTACACATGATACTTTTCACTTTAGATTTGATGTAGTTCAACTACATTTTCTTGCTGCAAGTGCAGTATAAGAGCAGAATTTACATTGATTTAAGGGTCAGGCTTCCTCATCCTCATTCAGTCTCTCAGTGTCTTAAATCCTACATCTCCATTTATTCTTGCAGCCCTTTTAGTAATTCATCTGTATATCATGAATTATTTATTTATTTTTATGTATGTCCTGATAATATGTTAAATTTATTAATTTAGAATGCTATAAAGTAAATTATCTGCTGTTTTTATTTACCCTAAAAATACTCAGGGATATAACTTGTAGTTTTGTTCATTGTGCAATAAACATGTTTTAATACAATGTGTTTACTTTTTTCTGATTTGTACAGGAAAACTGTGTAACATTTTTGTTAATGCTTTCATTTACCATCCCTTATGTTCTAGATATCAACCAGGTTAGTGTGGGGTACAAACTACAAACTGTAAAATACTAGGTAATTACTTTGGGTAACATCGCAGTAAGTTCCAAAGCAGTCTAACTAAATTACACTGAAATGCTGAACAGGTTCTACATATTAACTGGGTAAATGTGTGGTACAAACTAGACGGTACTGTGTATTTTTTAGGTAAAGTTATGTGATGGTCAGGAGGTTACATGATTTTAAAGTACTGTAAACAAACAATGTACACTTTCATATAGTATGCACTTCTTTACTATGCTCTTAAAAATGGTTATATAAGGGGTTTTTGGCAAAGAAATTAGTTCTGTACAGGACCATGAGCACTCAAAGAGACGTTAGCAAGATTTCAGGGTTCTTCAGATTGATGGAGACTGTGCATCAATGTGTTATAGATAGTTTCTATATAGAACCTTTTCGAAAAGGGTTCTTATATTGTTACAAGCTTGACATCGTAACAATAGAAGAATCTTTGGGTGCTATATAGAATCCAGCATGCAAAAGGTTCTTTGAGTGCTCATGGTTTAATATATACACAGATAACATTATGACCACCTCCTTGTTTCTACGCTCATTTTCCATTTTTTTCAGCTCCACTTACTATATAGGTGCACTTTGTAGTTCTACAATTACAGACTGTAGTCCATCTGTTTCTCTGCACACTTTTTAGCCCCCTTTTACCCTGTTCTTCAGTGGTCAGGACCCACATGGACCCTCACAGAGCAGGTACTGCTTGGGTGGTGGGTCATTCTCAGCACTGCAGTGACACTGATGTGGTGGTGGTGTGTTAGTGTGTGTTGTGCTGGTATGAGTGGATCATACACAGCAGTGCTGCTGGGGTTTTAAACACGGTGTCCACTCACTGTCCACTCTGTTAGACACTCCTACCTTGTCAGTCCACCTTGTATATGTAAAGTCAGAGACAATAACTCATCTGCTGCTGCACAGTTTGTGTCGGTCATCCTATATGGATATTTTTGGTTGGTGGACTCTTCTCAGTCCAGCAGTGACACTGAGGTGTTTAAAAACTCCAGCAGCAGTGTGTGTTAGTGTGTGTTGTGCTGGTATGAGTGGATCAGACACAGCAGTGCTGCTGGAGTTTCAAACATGGTGTCCACTCACTGTCCACTCTGTTAGACACTCCTACCTTGTCAGTCCACCTTGTAGATGTAAAGTCAGAGATGATAACTCATCTGCTGCTGCACAGTTTGTGTTGGTCATCCTCTAGTCCTTCATCAGTGGTCACAGGACGCTGCCCACAGGATGCTGTTGGCTGGATATTTTTGGTTGGTGGACTATTCAGTCCAGCAGTGACACTGAGGTGTTTAAAACTCCAGCAGCACTGCTGTGTCTGATCCACTCAGACCAGCGCAACACACACTAACCCACCACCACCACATCAGTGTTACTGCAGTGCTGAGAATGACCCACCACCCAAGCAGTACCTGCTCTGTGAGGGTCCATTGGAGTCCTGACCACTGAAGAACAGGGTAAAAGGTGGCTAACAAAGTAGAGAAACAGATGGACTACAGTCTGTAACTGTAGAACTACAAAGTGCACCTATATAGTAAGTGGAGCTGATAAAATGGACAATGAGCATAGAAACAAGGAGACAATGGTCATAATATTATGCCTGATCAGTGTATTTTCTATATTTTTTTACTACAGACCTTTCTGCCCCACAATTTTTAAAATAATTTAGTTAATATCTAGTGCCTGTTTAGCATTTCAGTGTTAGTTAAACTGTCTCAGTATATGCCATCAGGTTACCCAAAGTAGTTATCTAGTAAGTATGTTTTTTGTTTATAGGCAAAGGTTTTCAGGAATGCTACACACTAAATCTGGTTCCTCATCTTTTTCTACAACATGTAACAGACAAAACAATTGATATGCAATAAAACAAATTCTGCATTTTAAACATTGTAAGCATTGCATACTGTTATAATATTCAGAGGTCAAACAAAGGTCAGTTTCAGTGGCTTAGACTTAGAAGAAACCTTAAACTTCCTGTTATTACTCAGAGAGCTTCAGTGTAAAAAAAAAAAAAAAGGCCCAAAATACTGATGGTTTTTACTGATGGTTTTGGACTGATCAGAGTCCAGTGTGAGACCAGAGTTTGGTCTCATATTAAACATAAACTAGCTCAGCAATGTTTTTCATCTGTTTGGAGCCATCAAAGCTGAGTGGAACAATATTCAGTACTAACTCTTCTTTCTGTAAAAGACCCTCACAATGCTAATCTCTCACTTTAAACATGCAAAACACATTGTTTTCCACTGGTTTTAGGCCTCTGGTGTTTGTTTATTACTCTCTGACACAACATGACTTCTTTCACAGCTGGAATCAGTGCTCACACTACTGTAGCTATATACTTAAGTGAGTCAGTTCAAATTAAATGCTCCTTCAAGTCTGGATATGAAACCTACATAAAGTATCTCCACACATCTCATTCTACTAAATTCATTCCTGTTCAGTCTGGATCTGCTGAAGATCAGAGATTCTCTCTGGATGACGACACAGCAGCCAGAGTCTTCACCATCACCATCACTGATCTGAGACTAGAGGATGGAGGAACATACTGGTGTGGGATAAAGAGACCTTATCCATTTCTGGATTATTATTCTTGGATTTTTACACATAGATTATATTATAGGCATCCAAGACAACATACACACCACATTCTGGTTAACCAAGTTCCGGCTTAATTGATAGAAAATAGAGTGTAGATGCCAATTAGCCAGGACAACTCAGGCTTTATACATTTATTATTAATTTCCAAGGCCATGACACTGTCAGGTAGCTTTTCAATTAAAAATAAACAATAAATAAATAATAAATAATGAAACTTCAGTAAAAATAAACTACAACTTAATAATACTTGTGATTGGCTCATGCATGTTTTTATCCTTTCAAATTAAAGAAGATTTCCAATGATTTGTTAAAATGTATGCACAACAGTGATCACACTGTACAACCCCTGTTCACTGTGCTGGGACATTATTGTATACTGAGCCACTAACAGGATACTGAGCACCAGTTTACTCATGTTGTCTCTCCCTTATATTAAAATTAGTCGGATGATCTGAAAGATTTAAATGTGACAAATTAGGAAAAAATAGAAGAAATTGGGTGAGGGACAAATACTTTTTCACAGCACTGTACAAAGCTAGAAAGTAGTCTTGTGTCACACTCTGAATACAATTTACATTCCAAGACAAATTTATCATTTGTTCATCCAGATCCTTCAGAAGAGTTCTAATAACCTCATTACTTAATGAAACTAAAAATGATCCGATAATGAACTGAAAATCTAAGTAAGGTAGTAAAAGCACTGAAACATTAGCTGAACAAATATATGTGACTCTTTCTTTTAGATGAACAGATATATGGATCACTTTATTAATCCCAGAGGGAAATTATTCTATTGCAGCTGCACAAAACACAGTAAAGAGCAAAACAAGAGCAAAATGAACAGTAGCAAAGTATTGCTGTGCACTATTTACAGATATGTAAAAAGAAAGTAGAGATAAATAACAGCATAAAATAAAAATACTAAAAACAAGAAATAAATTGCATAAATACTATGCAGCTGACAGTGCAGTGCTGCATGTCTCCTCCAGTGAATGAACAAGTGTTACAGTACATAGTCACTTGTTTAGTAAGTATTTATTTCTTGTTTTTAGTATTTAGTATTATCTATAACCTATGTTAACAGTTGTTACATTTATAGATGTACAAACAAAGTGACTGTGCAGTGTGCAATAGTTGTGGACAAATAAACAAAGTGGCAGTGCAATATGGAATGTGTATACATGTATAATCAAAGTGGCAGTGCATAGTAATATGATTGTAGAGATGTAATGTCCAGCTGGTGCCCAATGAGTCTGCCCTAGCAGTGTCTCAGTATACAGTAATGTCACGGCACAGTGAAGAGGTATTGTACAGTGTGATTGCTGTTGGTAATAATAATAGTAATTATATGTAGCACTTTTCATGCTGGTGGCAGCTCAAAGTGCTTTACAGACAGGTGATAAAACATAGTTATACAAGAAATTATAAGTATTTATTTAGAATCAAAGAAAACGAAATAGATCAAATTAGAAGATGAACACCACGAGACGTAGAGTTTTAATTAAATGCTAAATTAAGGAGATACATTTTTAGATACTTCTTAAAAATTAGCACTGAGCTTGACTGTCTAATAAAAGGTGGAATTGAGATCCACAGTTTAGAAATATAATAACTGAAAGAGTCCCTCCATGTTTTCTGTATTTTACAGAGGGTATCTGTAGAAGGCCACTATCTGCAGATCTTAGATTACGTGCCGGAACATAAACGGACAGACACTCTGCGATGTAAGCAGGTGCTTTAAGGTCATTTTGAGCTTTAAAATATTTCTTAAATGATAAAAAGCTACTTTAGTGACTGTGTTTAAATGTGGGATAAAACAGAGCTCAGAATCTAAGGTCACACCGGGTTTGGTACTTCAGGTCTGGTACATGAAGCTATGAGAAAGAAGTTTCTCATAAATCATTTTTGTCTGAGTTTTTGTACAAATGATCAGTATTTCAGTTTTTTCATGATTTAATTGTAGAAAATTTTATGACATCCACTAAGAAATATCCGACACACAGCTTGTTAGTCTGTCTACAGAGTCGTGATCATCAGAGGGAATGGAAATGTATAACTGGGTGTCGTCAGCATAGCTATGAAAATTTATATTATGCTTCCCAATGGCATGACCAAGAGGTATCCAGCATTCAAGACGCTGGATTAAAATCTTGTGGTCAACAGTATCAAAAGCTGCACTAAGATCTAATAAAACCAGAATAGAGGGATTTTGTGAGCCTGAGGTCATTCATAACGTGAACCAATGCTCTGTACTATGATTACAACGAAAACCTGACTGAAACGTCTTATATAAATTGTTTAATATTAGAAAACCACTTTTTTTACTGAATGAAAAGAGTAAACAGCGTCCCTCAGGGAGGGGTAGTTCCAGGGATTAGGTTTATGCCACAGTTGTAAGACCTGTGCAGAGGCAGGACTTGGGCTTTGTGTTTACTAAAGACCTCCAATAGATCATGGTAGTCAGCTGGCTCCTGGATAGGTTAGGACTGACAGATGGAGCCACGATCTGATTGGAAGTGACAGTGGGTCCTTCAATGCATGACCCCTTGCACTGTTAGCCCCAGCCTGCCAAGGACTGGGTCAGCCAATCCAGGTGAGGATTGTGTTGTTGCATCCAGGGAAGCCCTAATACTAGCTGCAACTCCGGTGCCTGGGTGAGCAACAGAGCAATCTGCTTGGTGTGCTGGCCTATCTGTAGGGTGATAGGCCGGGTCTGTTGTTTGATCACCCCTCCCCCGAGAGGGTGCCCGTCAATGGTAGCAACTGGTATGGGGTCTTCCAGGTCAACTAGGGGCATGTTTAAGGTTGTGGCTTCCACAAAATTACCAGCCACCCTGGAGTCTATGAAGGCCTAGAGCTGTTTCTTTTGACCTTGCCCTCAGGTCCACAACCCTGTAATGGACCCTGGCTTTTCCTGCCAGCTCAGGGCCTTTGGGCTGGAAGTGACTAACGTGCCAGCAGTAGAGGCACGTCTCCTTAAATTGAGTGAGCACAGCTGATTATCACCTACTCCTACAGCTGATTATCATCTACTCTTCACCTCCCTCTGGTGGCCAGGGGCAGCCGAGCAGGAGACTGAGATGTTACCTCAGCAAACAAGTCAGCAAATGCACAATCTTGTCTTTATTGAAGTTTGCAAGCTAGCTGTCTGTCTAGTAATACACCAGAGACATATTATAAGGGCAGAACAGGTATGTTAAATAATTGGTTCTGTACATTTAATTAAATAAAAATTAAAATCAGGTTCTATTTGAGTTCTATTACAAACTTGTGAAAAATACACTGTGCAACATGCAGTTTGGCAGATAGCTAACAGGCTATCTTGATGGAAAATTTTAAATAAATGCACCCTTAATCAATAAGTAAATATTACTTAATTAATGAGTAAGATTAGACATGTAATCAATAATCAGATAGTTAAGCATTGACCAAAAGGTAATATTAATTTCTCACTAAAGGGGTAATATAGGAAGCATTAGGCCATAGTGTGTGTGTTTGTGTATATACCTCAGAGAGATGCCGGAGAAGACAGAACAACACTCCTGTGAATTATTTTTTTATTTATTTATTTTTTGTTAATAAGATGCCCATAGTTGGGTGCTTTTGAACAGCAAAGGAAGTGAACTCTTGTGAACCCATATGATATCACAGAAGTATGGCCTTGTAGAATGAGAAGAACTGGAACAAACTGGCTGAAACCAGTTTTTTAAGAAGAATCGCTGTATATGTGAGGAGATAGGGGGGGCTAATTAATGAATGGGGTTTTATATCCAATGGGACCAAACGGAACAAGAACTGATAAGAAGGGTGGGATGATGTGATATCACCCCAGAAAAAGTGTGCCACCTGATGCTCGAAGAAAATACGACTTTTTCCTCTTTCCATGAACTCAGCTTAAATAGTTATTAGTCTAAGTGTTTAGCCAGCATTACAAGAATTTTTTTTAATATTATGTTGGAGGTCTGGGGTTGAAGGGGATAGCATTTGGTCCCGACACTAACAAGCTCACTGAATACAATTCAAATTTAAGCTTTAAGCTGAAGTATTTACAGAATGAGTTACTGAAAATCGTTAAAATTGTCTTATATAGCATTAAACCCAGTTTGGATAATTCACTGTAAACCATTGTTAACTTGGTGCAGTGCAAACATACTGCTACAGCTCCCATTAGTGGAAATAAGCATTAATGCAGCAAAGGCTACTTATGAAGTCATATCCATATAAAACATTGTCATATAATTGGATGTGCTGTGATCACATGTTTATGAATAAAATAATATAAAACAAAATGCTAATGAAAATATTGTCTCTGAGTCATTTAATTAATTTTAAATTTGCAAAAGTGGCATTAAAAATAAATATAATTGAAAATGTTAGTATTTGCAGATACCATACCTGAGTTATGCAGTAATAGCTCTTAATAGCTTATTTTTTTCTTTCTCTGGTTTTCAACTTAAAAAAAACATAAAGTCAAACTTATTTTTTGTAGTACAAAACATTTTGTATTATATCAAATTGATCTGGCAGTTTATTGCAATTTGCATGAAATAATCTTCACTGAAATTCTCAGTTGTCATTTCCATATTAGATATCATTTTCATATCTGTTTATTATTATAGTCTGCTTTTGAAATAGGAAATGATGAGAAACTTGTCAGGAGTTAGATGTCCACATGCTTTGTTGAGTAAATATTTCGAACAAAATGTGCACACTTCCTGCTACAGTTACTGAAATACTGACACACAAACACTCACACACACACACACACACACACACACACACACACATACATTAAGTTCACATTAAGTTCGTTTGCAGATCACATTCAGTGCTTTATTGGGATCATTTTACACTTGGTATTCCATTTAGTCTCAATGTAACACTATAAACTGCTGTCAATAGTTACTAATCAATTTAGACACTGTAAATTGGTGCAGTTCATCTGATAAGTTTTACATAATGTTGAGTAAACTAAGAAAACAATTAACTGCCTCAGATTTTTATTAACAATGAAGTCTTTATCTATAGAAATCAAAGAAACCTTCAATTTATCTCAAAGCTGTAAAAAAAAAGAAGTCAAAATTTTTTAGAGAAATATATATCTGTAAAAAGAAATAACAATAAACACAAGGAAAAGTCTAAATAAAACACTGCGTACCTTATAAGTTATGACATACAGATGAAGATAAAAAAAAAGTAATATAACATGAAGAGGCAAATGACTAAGTACATTTTGAAACGGGTTTTGAAATATAGCTAATTCAAGTGATTTTAAATGAAAAATTAAATTTAATTAAATTAAATTAAAAGAATTTTAAAGCTTGAACAGTACATATAACAGTAATATTGCTCTTTACTACTAACAGTTCAGGGTGAGACACTAACAACGACCAGCTCAACGCTTCAAAACTCCATTCATACCAATTCTCTCTCTCTCTCTCTCTCTCTCTCTCTCTCTCTCTCTCTCTCTCTCTCTCTGTATAGCAGTTCTCAGTGGATCTTATCTTTTCTTACTGTGCTGTAAATCACTGAGGGATCTTCCACATTCTGAGTTGGTGACCTACAAAACAAAGAAGGTGAAACTTTAATGTCTAAAGACCAAAAGTGCAAAACTGAGGACTGAGGATTATTTAAAAAGGCAAGAGAACATTTTCTGGCAAAATACCTGATGCACGCTTAAAGAAATTGCAGTATAAAATGACACTATAAATATAAACTTCGTAACACGTTTTTGTGTATAATGGATCATAATATTGTGCTGAACTCTTTACTGAGCACTGAGATAAACTGAGTCCTCATTGTAAAGTATGATTGAAGTGGACATTGAATGTCATCAGAGTGTCTTAAAAAGCATTTATTTGCCATTTTCCTTTGATATTGTAATAGAAAAAAACATGTTAGCTCTAAACAAAGCTAAAGTTACCCCTATTGAAAAGTTAAAAATTTTAAAGTGAATTTATAGTTAACCTTTGCATCTAAGAACTGGTTAATGAATTAATAATGAGCAACCAGTTCATTAGCAGCTACAGGTTTGTTAAGGCTTAATAATGATAATATATAATAGTGTTTAGAACCTAAACACTTGGATTTTAAATCTCAATAAAAACTCACATAAGGTAATGTTACTTAACACTCTTTATAGCTTTTATCAAATGGTCCCAAACTGTCCTGCTCTAAGGTCTGAACAACCTAGCGAGTGAAATTTTAATGGCAGATGGAATTCACTTCTAGTTTAGTGCTAACATAAAAAGGAAAATCCCATAAAGGTGCTTATAAAAAATAGGTGCCTTAGATTTACGTCCCTGTGTGTTAAACAAAGTTTATCTGTGCAGCTTTATATAAAAGCTCAGTGAAACTCACCCAGTGGCAGCAGTGCGGTGGTGGAATGTAACACTGGCATATTGGGGCTCCCCCTGCTGGTCAGTGCTGGTCACTTCATCATTCCGATTTCTGATTGTTGCATACTGAACATCATCAGCTCCAGAGTCAGCAGCCTGTACAGGTCTGGATCTGCTGTCTGTAACGGTGGTGTAGATCTCTTCTTCCTGAGAGTGAAGCATTCATGGAGAACAGTTTAAATGTCTAATGTTCTGAAAATGTGGCAGAAAATACTCTTATCTTATAAACACTTTCTTGAAATTTTCACATTTTAATAGTCTTTTCTGTTGTTCCCAAACAAGAAACAAATATAGCCTTCAATGGAATCTGCTACCCACTAGTGAACATCATTGCTTTATGTGGTCATTTCAATTGTGGCCAGCTTACCTGTTTTGACTCAGTGTTAGGTTCAGCTTTTTTCTTCATTCTGTGAAAACAGTACAAATGGATGTATTCTAGTAAGTTTTAGGTTAAAATCTTTATTTATTTTTTATTTTATTGTTTTTTATGCATTACTCAAACAATTCACACTGTAGGTTTTTTAGCTACGACTTGCTGACCTGTAGATGCAGATTAAGACAGTAATTAGCAAAAGGAGAAAGCTTCCTACTCCAACTGCAATCCAAACTGCAAACAAACTCTGCCCTGCGGGAGAAAAGATGAGTTCCATCACTTTGGTCTGTCATTATTTTAAACCTGGACACTGAAATATAATATTTCTATTATTATTCACCACTTACTCTTAACAGTGACCATTACAGTTCCATTCAGAGCTCCATGATCATTCTGAGCTTTACAGTAGTACAGTCCAGTGTGGTCAGCAGTGATGCTGATGATGCTGTAACTGTGTCCAGATCCTACAGGTGAGGTTCCACCTTCTTTAAACCAGGTGTAGTTCTTCACAGGTGGGTTTGCATCACTGCTGCAGGTCAGAGTTACTGAACTGCCCTCCACTATTTCACCAGAGGGACTGATGGACATTGAAACATTCTTCGGAGGATCTACAGATAGATATGATAGGAATACTTTAATGGCTTCTGTAATCACAGTAACAAAATGTTTTGCTGTCACTATTAATTGAGATTTACCAAGTAAGACTTATCCCATTTTCTGGTGTTTCTGTGAATATTGATGAGTAATTTATATGTTATTTTGAAATGCTTTCTAAAGCATTAAGCTCACATTAATATTGGTAAGACTTTCTTTTGAGTGCCTTTGTAGATGATTAATAACAAAGTACATTGAGGTAAATATTTTTAAGATGTACTGTTGATACATTATTTACATTAAGCAGATGTAGATGTACACTGTTTACATTAAGTAGTTGATATGTTACATGAAGTAGACTTAACATGATACTGCCATTACCCAAAACCTAACCCTCACCCTGGCCCTAATCCTGACCCTCACCCTGGCTCTAATCCTAACCCTAACCTTAACCAAACCCTAATCCAGTGAAGCTCCAGATACAGAATGGTGTCAGCAATGTGTCTGTAACAGCTTGTTGAGGATGTTGATGGTCTGAATTAAACCTGTTACATGTGCAGTTCTCTAAGGTTAAACATATACAGATCTGAATCTGGACACTGCAAATAAAATGAAAAAACAACTGAATTTAGCAGATTGCAAACAACTTTATATTTGCACAGTTAATTAAAAGTCTCTTTGTAATCTACTGAATGTATTCACTGCTGCTACATCACTGATATGTCAATGTTACTGAGAGTACATTGAATGTTTATTTTATCTAAAAAGGACCACTTATGATAGTGTCACCTTAATATCAAAATTAAAGTAAACTCACATCTGACTCTGAGGTCTGTGAGCAGTAGAGTGGAGATGCTGATATCCTCTTACAGCACAGCTATAACTGCCTGCATCCTCACTGCTGACTGTCTGCAGGTGGAGCTGGTTGTTCTTGATGGTCTTTGTGGTTAAAGCATGTCCATTTTTGTACCAGATGAATGTTGGGTCAGTCAGACTGCAGGTGGTTTTACATGTCAAATTTGCTGTTCCTCCCTCTGTCACTTCTTCAGGAGTTTCTACATGGAGCTCTAAGACAATGAGAGGACCATCAGATTAGGAGAGTAAAGCTGTAAAGACAGTGCCCCTTATTCATCAAAGCTGCCATCATGATTAAACTCATACTAACCTTGCATACATGTAAACTGCATGAAGAACACACTAATGCCTAAGCGATTATATATATATATATATATATATATATATATATATATATATATATATATATGTATATATGTGTGTGTGTGTGTGTATGAATTGATCAAAATGTAGTTTTTTTCAGGTGCTTGTGATGGTGTGATTATATAGTATGTTCTGGCTAGCATAATGTTGCAGTGGAGGGGAACCCTCAGGGCCTTTTAGGCCCTCGAAGAAGGCCTAATGATTTCTGGGAACTAAACAAATGTCTGTCATTTTGACTTTTTTTTTTTTCAATTGTAACTAAAGGCTGCAAGTATTACAGCACTGCTTGTTAAATTGTAATGTACCCTTTTTCCTCTCAAGTAGCTCCCTAGCAAAGCTCTGCATTGTGGATTGCTGGAATAAAGGGAATCAGGGAGCCCAAAACTGTGGTGCATCAGCTGGTGCCGCTGTTTTTTAGTAAACTTTTCTTAGTTGGATGAAAACAGGTAGCAATTTCCATTTTCATAAAAGAAAACAGGTGTACCAGCACCTAGTAGTTCTAAGTGTTAATACCACCACCTAACAGTGAGGTTTAAGATGTAAATAAAGGGTTAAATTCTTGAAATGCTGAGCTAAAAAAATTGCAAATCATTTGTTTTTCTCTGTGGAACCTAGGTTGATATAGCTAGGACTTCAGGAGATGAACAGAAGAACTAACATGTTAGGATATGATGTAGGAGTAGTAATAAGAGGCTAAACTCAGCTTCTTCAGAAAGTGTTCTTGCGAATCACTGTTAGTTGAGCACTAACAACAGAAATTAGCATTATTGGTTTGTCTGTTGTTTGGACTGAGGTGGGTCCTAATGTACTAGATAAGCCTTGTGATGTAGTTTAGAGATGGAGTTACTTACTATATCGAGTATAGAGCAAAGTTCCTTAAATTCCACTTATACTTGTAAAATGTGTATCAGTGTACACATAAAAGTATCATTTGTATGTGAACCTTAGTACAAGGATTGCTATCTTATCAATAGATATATTTTTTGTTTTACTGTTATTGCACTAATTTTACAGTCAGAATTGACTGGATTCAATTTTGGTGAACAATGTTAAGTTAGTGAACCACCAAAACAGAATAAGGTCCAATGAGTGAACCATCAAAACACTATTTATAACTGAATGATAGTTCTTAACCCTGTCAGTTTAAAAGTTTACCTTTTCCATGGTTTGACATGGATAAAGTCAGAAAGAAAATGAGCAGATGAAACTGACTCAGGTGTAAGAACAGATAGAATCATGTAGGAGTGAATCAGAACAGAAGCTGAACATCATTAGAGCAGATTAATAAAATCAGTGATGAAAAAACAACATGAAATATTCAGAGCAGTCATGAATAAGAAACATTACTCTGAAACCAGAGCTGTGTCTTATAGCTGGACAATGGGATGATTAACTCACCTGTAACTCTGAGCTGAACTCCAGGTGTACCTGCCCATTTTACTTTTCCTTCATTTGTTATGATTCTGAAAACATACTCATGTTCGTCCATCTTCATTACATCACTCAGTTTGAGGGAGAAGTGTTTCTGTTCATCAGTTAAATACTCAACTCTGCCTGAATAATCTGCGTCTTTTACTCAGATCAGTCAGCTCCACACCATGAACTGGGTCTATGTACCAAAAAGTCTCATGTCACTGTAAGACGTTCTGGGTGAGTATAAGTTCCATTCATAAACACTGTGGATCCCTTTTAAAGCACATATTTCCTGTTGGTTGTACTTCACACTCCACTCTGCTCCAAAAGCTCCTGAAACATATGATGCATGAAAGAGCTGATTACAGAGTCTGGAGCCCATAAGACAGTCAGAGTTACTGTAGCTTACAGCTTCACTTCTCTCCTCTCGAACTCCAGCAGCTTCTCTACAACACTGAGCTGATTCTGAGAGAAACCACAAAGTGTGAAGAGCTCTGAAAGTGTATCAGCAGAGTGAGGGAGGCTGGAGAGAAGCACAAACTAACAGTCTCTCAACACAGTGAATATAGTGAACGTCTAGAGATTATCAACTTCATGTTCAAGTGAACAGTGTACTTCTACATTGACTTGTACAGAGAAAATATCCAGTGTGCTGCTGTAGTGATGATGTTACAGTAGGATCTGCTGACTCACCACCAATCATGAGCAGAAAGACCAGAGGAAGAGGAGGAGCCATTCTGAGTGACATCACAGTGAAATACAGCAGAATTTCAGTGAGCTTCAAAAATGAGATATGAATTTACAGTTTAAAGTCCCTGAGAGAACAGAAAGATGGAGAGAGACAAAAAGGCACATAAACAGGCACTTAAAAGACCTTCTTGTGTGAAAACTAATTTTTTAAACAACTATTATCATTAATCTTATCATAGACAGCTCTTTCAAACTGAATTAGTCCTTTTTTACCCAGCCATTCTCTTTCAGTACAAAAACCTTACCAATAATCTATCTATCTATCTATCTATCTATCTATCTATCTATCTATCTATCTATCTACAATTTCCTGATAAATATTTGCCACAGAATTCAACACAGCCGAAGATATGTAATAAAAAAATGCATATTAAAAACTTCTTACCTCGCTGTACTGAATGTTATCTACACTGTGAAAACAGCAAATGAAGACAGCTCTGAGGTTTAAGGTGTTTGAGTAAATGTGGTTTATTTTATGTTTTGTTCTTCTGCTTTTTTCTCCTTTGTTCTCTTCTTGTGCAACAGCTGGTCAGTCCAAAACCAACCCTCTTTATGTCCTAATCAGATTGCAGTAATGCAGTGCAGTGAAGACAAATACTCCACTATTAGTGACTGGTAATACTGCAGTCACTAGTAGCCTGTTTATTGTTCACAGAATAGCTTATTCCTGTTTATAACCGGTTTATAATTGCTTATTACTTAATTGATGGTATAGATTGGTATTTACCTTTGTAGTGCATATGGCAGGGCAATTTAAAATGTGCACACACAGGCACATCCAGTAGGAAGGAAAATTACAATCACCTCCATTTATTCTGGTGAGGAAATCATAGTGTTGTGAATTCAGAGGCAAAGCTGGATTATAGAGATGTTCACACTTTCTATAGTGTCCTCATTCTGGATATTTTATTAATCACTCTCAGTATCTTTACCTTTATGTACAAAATCAAGTTTCAAATTATAAGGCAATGGTTCTGCAGTAGTAGAGTGTTGGTATAGGCATGGGTGGAGCCACACCTCCAAAAGAGGTGCGGCAAAATGCAACTAGGCCACTGAGTGTGTAACTAAACTACTTCTCATGTAATGATAATAACATGTCCCTACACTCTCAGAAAAAAAGGCCCCTCTTGCCACTGGGGTGGTAGCCTCAAGAGTCCATCTCAGTACCTTTAGTTAGGGCACAAAATTGTACCATAATCCATTGGAATTGTATTCTCTAAGTTCTATTGACTCCACACACCCCGTCTCATCTCCAGGCTTTATTTTGTTGTTCTGTTTTAAAATGTTAGATCATGAAAAGGTGCAGATACGTTCTTTTCACCAGCGAAAATCTTATTTAAGGTACACAGTTGGACCCTAAAATCACTATTGGACCTTTGAGGGTACATTTACATTGTTAGTACCTTGATGAACAAGAAATGTACCTGTGTAGTACCGTTAATTCTAACAGTGTATAAACCTGGTCATGGGGTTTTCTGTGCTATTGTATCTTTGGTTCAGTTAGTTTCACACCACAATGGCTGAAATGGACCAAATTACACACAGAGGTATTCATTTATTGGTCTGCAATGTGGTCTGTATTATGTTTGTTTGCATGTAAAATGATCTAAGCTTTTCTGTGGGTTGTAAATTTGGATCAAGGCCTGGGTGGTCACTGTATTTTAGCGAGTTAGGGAAGTTGAGGCTGTGAGCCAGCCGAGTAAGACATAGCTTAAGCTTAGCACACTCTGTTAGCATTCCCCCTCCATTTGTGAGGCAAGGCCGGAGACAGAGACAGCCTTTAATAAGGTCTACAGTTGTGGAAAAGCTGTATACCTCATTTCACTGCAGTGGATTGTTACTATATGATTATCTACACTTGCTGTGGTGACCAAAACAGCTATAAATGTTTTGGCTACTACTGGCTACTTGGTATTTACTGTTAATATGACATTTTTGTAATTTACATGACATCTTTCACTTTATATTTGCTGTGATTCAATGACAATTTCTTGCTCCAAGTGCAGTATAAGAGCAGAGTTTATATTGAGTTCAGGGTCAGGCCTCCTGATGACGTTTTTGGCCTTTTTGGGCTTTAGCAATAGGAGTTATGTGGCTTTGGGTTTACTTTCATATATTCTGTCAGTTTGTGTACATTTCAGGTCTGCACTGAAATTAATTATTTCTATAATTCAAATTATGTGGTCTTTACTCTTAGACTCTTACATAAGATATCTCTGTTTATGCGTGCACTTCTGCTAATTCATGAGTATCATGAAGTATTTTTTTAAATGTATGTCGGTATGTATACTTTATTAAAGTCAGTCAATTTTTAGATCACTGAAGACTTGTCAAATGTAAATGACCTGCTGTGAAACATGTTTGGTTTATTTTACAGTTCTGTAAGTTCTAGATATTAACCAGTTAAGTATGACATACAATTTCCAAGGTATTGGGCAATTATGTGGGTAAATTAATGTAAGTTCCAAGGCAGTCTAACTAAACAACACTGAAATACTGAACAGGTTCTAGACATTAACTGGGTATGTGGTACGAATTCCTCAGTACTGTGTTATTTTTGGGTAAAAGGCATCAGCTACTGATATGACATAAAACAGTTTGCACGTGAATAAATTACAAAGTCTTACATACCTGTTTGTTACTGTAAATGAAACTGATTCTGGGCTGTAAATGAAAGTAGTGACTCTGTGTTTACATTTACATAAGAGAACTACATTATATGGACAGAAGTATTGGGACAACTACACATTACATCTACGGGAGCTTTTATGACATCCCATTCTAAATCCACAGGCATTAATATGGAGTTGGTCCCCCTTTGCAGCTATAACAGCTTCCACTCTTCTGGGAAGCTTCTACAAGATTTTGGAGAGTGTCTGTGGGAATTTTTGCCCATTCATCCAGAAGAGCATTTGTGAGGTCAGAGAGTGATGTTGGATGAGAGGATCTGGCTCACAATCTCCATTCTAGTGAATGCCAAAGGTGTTAGATGGGGTTGAGGTCAGGGCTCTGTGAGGGCCAGTCAAGTTCTTCCACACCAAACTCACCCAGCCAGGCCTTTATGGACCTTGCTTTGTGCACTGGGGCTCAGTCATGCTGGAACAGAAAAGGTTCTTCCCCAAACTGTTTCCACAAAGTTGGAAGCATACAATTGTCTAAAACGTCTTGGTGCTGAAGCATTAAGATTTCCCTTCACTGTAACTGTCTAGGCCAACCCCTGAAAAACAGCCCCATAATCATCATCCCTCCTCCAACAAACTTTAGAGTTGGCACAGTGCAGTCAGGCAGATAACGTTCTCCTGGCATTCACCAAACCCAGACTCGTACATCAGACTGACAGATAGAAAATTGTGAGTCATCATTCCACAGAACACGTTTCCACTGCTTCAGATTCCAGTGGTGGCGCTTTATACCACTCCATCCGACGCTTGGCATTGAGCTTGGTGATGTAAGGCTTGCATGCAGCTGCTCAGCCATGGAAACCCATGACTTGAAGCTCCCGGTTCACATTTTTGTGCTAAAGTTAATGTCAGAGGAGGTTTGAACTCTGCAGTTATTGAGACAGCGGAGCATTGGAGACTTTTGTGCACTATTCTGTCCTTAAATTTCTTGGTTCTTATTATCATTTTACCCAAAACAATTACACAAAATGTATCTAGAACTTGCTCAGCATTTTAGTGTAATTTAGTCAAACAGTCTCAGAACTCACCATCAGGTCACCCAAAGTGATTATCTAGTACTTTAGAGTTTGAACCTCACACTGTCAAGGTACATTTTTGTTAATCGAGGTATAAAGAATGTACATGTATCTTTAAACAAACAACAGTGGTCTACAGTTCCAACTGTGTACATTAACATACTCTAATGTTTAAAACAGAACAATAAAATAAAAAAAAACTTGATGACTAGACAGGGTGTATAGAGTTAAAGCCACTTCAGAATACTAAATTCAGTAATTCAGTGGAGTTTGGTGCAATAATGTTTACCAACTAAAGGTACTGAAGATGGACCCTTAAGGGGACTACCCCAGTGACAGTTTAGTACCTTTTTCCCTGACAGTGTAACAGGTTAATATCTAGAACTGAGGACCCTGTAAAAGATAGCATTACCACACTTTTTAAAATATGTTTGTTTGAAGGTTTTCAGGATTGCTAATATTCTAAAACTGATTTCTTCTCCCACCTTTTTGACTTTACCAACTAATCAGACTTGATGGAAACATTCAATCAGACTGATGCAGAGAAAGAACATCACTGTTTTACATGTAGGGGGAGCTCTAACACTCTCTATTGAACTTACAGAGTCTCACGTAGAGAAAGACATCCTGACCCTCCTCCCTCAGTTTAGCCACTCTGTTTGTGTGGAGGGTTCACCATATTGAGGGCTATACTAACATAACGAGAAGGAACTGAAATCAGATTATACAACCCCTGTAACAGTGAGCAAACACTGATGCAGACTTACCACAACATTACACAGAACTAAAACATGTCAATCATGGATTACACAGCTTACACACATCAGTTTCACTCACTGCTTGCAAAAAGGTTTGGGGCATTTTTCTTACGAAGCTGTTTCACAAACGTAAGTCAAACCTTAAAAGAGCAAACAGTGGAAAGAGGAAGTTGCCGTCACCATCATGGCTACTGATAAACACTGAGCAAACTTAACAGTGCTGTAAAGATGTGCGGTGTTAGCACATCATCATTTACAAAATGCAAGAATCAAGTGCAGGTATAGAAGATCCTATAACATCTTACAGACAAAACAATTAATATGCAATAAAATAAACTGTGGATTTTATGTTTAATTGATATGTGTATGGATGAAATATGAAAGTTATTTTTTGCATATTTAACTTCACCACATTTTCCTTGATTTTGTTAGAAGGCTTTGTGAGTAAATACACCAAGCCTTATGTGCATATCTAGCAACAATATTTGAATAGATAAAGTTAACTGGAAATAACCTTTACATGATGTTACATCTTTCTAAACATGTTGTGCTTCCATATGCAGACATGTAGGGTGAGAGACCTCGAGGTCAGTAGATTTGAAACTATGCTTTTGGCACAGACTTGTGTGATGTACTGACCATGCATGTTCTGTAACTGGTGAAATTGGTAGAGATCATATCTGTATTTTAAGTCTTCTGAATATCTTCTTCTCCACCATGTTGGTCTGACAGCTGTAAACAAACCCATCCACTCTGATTGGTCCTAGAATTTATCTCAATGAATTTTGAAAATGCAGATGAGGATCAATCAGAGTGGATGGGTTTGTTTACAGCTGTCAGACAAATGTGGTGGAGATAAGAATCACATGAGGACTTTATAATCACAGATGTGCTAGTTGAGATGGGCTTATATTGATGCTGGTTTGTTGTTTTGTAGTCCACTTTGATAGCACTTTACTAGAACCCTGCTACATAACACTGACATAACCATCCATAAAAACATAGAAGTCATAGAAGATGCTGTCATTATTTGTCAGTATAACATTTTATACAACAGTTTGTTCCGGCCACGCAAGCTGATTGGTTGAGAAGCGTTCTAACTGTGCTGTTATTTCACCATATCATCACAGGCTTTTCACAAACATCCACTAAGATGCCATTGCTAAACAATGACTTTGCCAGCTGTAGGAGACGCTCAAGTCATTTGAAAGTTTTTACTTTTTACTTTGCCACAAACAGAAAATGGACACTTTTAAGATCACATTTGACCGACAGCCGATTTGGTCAGACTCTGAAGATGAGACTACACTAAATTCCCAAACTATCCACACCACTGAGCAGCTTTTTATTCAGCAGCTGTGACAGAAGAACAACTAAACAACCTGGAATCAGCCAGAAATGAACCCAATACCATTTGCCAAACGTGTAGTCTGATCTTCAGAGTCTGACCAAATCGGACTGAGCCATAAAACTGGCACAATAAAAAAAACAAAAAGCTGCTCAGTGGTGATGACAGTTTGGGAATTTAGTGTAAGGAGCTGGAGAACGAACTGCCGGCTGTGCAGTGAGTGAGCAGAGCTCATTACTCTGACGTAGCAACAAACTGCTTGTTAAGCAACTATAATTCAGCAGAAGGAACTGCGAACATTAAAACACATTAGGGGCCCCCAAGTGGCTCAAGCGTCTAAGAGTTGGCTCTGTCATCAGGAGATCGTGAGTTTGATCCCCGGTGATGCTACAGCCATCCATAGCTGGGAGTCCTAAAGAGCAACATCACTCAATGCGATGCTAGTCAGCGCAGGCGTCTGTTAGCTGACGCAACAGACCTGGCGGTTGGCGCTTTCCTCTGAGCGCGTTCAGCTGTCCAATGACGTTGCATTAGCGGCAGTTTGAAAAGAAGCGGTGGTTGGCTTCACAGGTCTCAGAGGAAACCCGTGTCATTTTACTTTTGATTATCTTTGTTCCTGTTATGATAAAAGCTCAGTTTGGGGATGAATTCAGTTTTATGTATCCTCCATCTTTCATTTCACTGTTTGTCCTCTTAGTTGCCAAGATCATTTTCTAGGTGGTATGACAAAAGAATTTAGGAGGAAGTGATTGACTCATTGCCAAGATGTTGCTCAAGTGCAACACAGCAACACAGAACAATGGGTGTGGGGGAGTGGATGATGACAGTAAGAGAGCGAGAGAGAGAGAGAGAGAGAGAGAGAGAGATGGTTGGGCCTCTTCACTTCAGGAAGCCTTAAAGCTCTCATGATAACCTTAAGCGTCATGTATAAGGACACTGCTCACTTTGTCAGGTATAAACTGACCTGTTAGATCTTTGAATCATGACCATCATCTGGATCATCATCTTCATTCTGACGCCTGGTGAGTTTTTCCTCTCACATTTGTGTTGAGGTTAAGATGATCTTTACAAACTCAGAGACACACAGTGTGTTAGATCAGTGACTGATAAAGAACAGAATATTTCCTCTTTCTCTCACTCATATTTATCACTGTTACTGTCTCAGTGAGACGTTTCTGTGTAGAGTTTCAGTCACTCGTGTTCTACAGCTGACTTTTCAGACTAAACAGTCCTGAGTAACGTCTCAGCCTCAGAGTTTGTTTATTACTCCCTCATACAACATGTTCTCTTTTACAGCTGGAATCAGTGCTGTAACTCCTGTAACTGGACACAGAGGACAGTCAGTCCAGATTAAATGCTCCTATGATTCTGGATATGAGACCAACATAAAGTATCTCTGCAGAGGAGAATGTTCTGCTTGGGGAACTAAAGACATTCCTGTTCAGTCTGGATCTGCTGAAGATCAGAGATTCTCTCTGGATGACCACACAGCAGACAGAGTCTTCACCATCACCATCACTGATCTGAGACCAGAGGATGGAGGAACATACTGGTGTGGGATACAGAGGACTAAAGCACTTCCTGATCTTTACACAGAGATTCTATTACTGGTTAAAACTGGTGAGTGACAGACAGTTCAGACTGATATCAGTTTTTTTCATAAACAGAAACATATGAGATACATTTTCCTGTGTGGTCAGTGAGATATTAATGCTAAGAGAGAATTTATGCTGTATCTATTTTATTTTTCAGCTGTCTCTCCTGCTGTCTCTCACTCCACATATTCTCCTCCATCAGTGCAGACACAATCCACACATCTCTCCAGTTTTCCATCCACAGGTATGAGCTCTTTCTCTCAGTCTGTTTTCTTGCTTGATCCTCAGTCTGTTTTCTTACTTGTGGATCCATCAGATCATCCATTAAGCCAGTAGTGACTGTTGATTTATCATAAATCCTGTAAGATGAAGGCACCTGTACTGTGCTTATAGTCTTGCTCCCCCTCCTTTTTGAAGTATAAGTCTATTAAATGTTTAGAGTATTATCAGGAGTGTGACTCGACTGTACCAACATCAGGGGCTGATTTAACATGGACACAGCCTGTCCTCTAGAGCAGTGCTTCTCAAGCCTGGTCCTGGAGGCCCAGTGTCCTGCATATTTTAGTGCTTGCTGTTAATGAGCTGATTAGTTGGATCAGGTGTGTTGGCAGCAGGGAAAACACAAAAAATGTGGGTCAGTGGGCCTCCAGGACCAGGCTTGAGAAACACTGCTCTAGAACTGCTCCTCCACTAGAGACTGGAAAAATGATTTGCTGGTTCAAGACAAACAATGGCAATACCTTTATCTAGAAAGAATTAGCTCCATGATTTTAAATTACATCAATAGATTATGTCATGCCTCCCTTTGGACCAGCTTAGACTATAGCTAACATGACAATCTCAGACTACAGTTCCCAGAACTCCTCACTCCGTCACATGACTCAGGACTCTAACCACTCCACCTATCATCGTTCAGCTTCTCCAGACTACTGATCATTCACACCTGTTGCTTGTTTGTTAGTTTAGTATATAAACCTGAGGTTTAGCTTAGATTTCTTGTGCATACCGAGCATTTCTCCTACGTTCCAGACTGATTTCCTGTGTATGACCCGTTTTCTGTTCATGACTTTGAATCTGTCTGTATCCTTTAGTTCTGTGTTGCTTTTCTCGTATTCAATCTTCTGCTTTGGTTTATCGACTGTGATTTTGGACAAAAACTTTGGCATTAAAGATCTTAACCCAAGCCTCTGCTGAGAGCGTCTCGTTCTGTCTGCCACCGTTGCAGATTAATAGATTTTAAAAAGCACATTGTAAGCCTTTTCATAACCAAAATGCAGCATATTCATAACCAATTAATTTATTCATAGTCTGCTCCATCTGCCAGTGCAGGAAAGGTCTTGACTCAGCAAATCTAGCTTAAAGCCATTGGTAATGTTAGCTATATTTCTAAACCAAATTACTGTTATTCCCTGTTATTATCAACTGACTAAAAAAGTTCTCTGTGTTAAGTTCTCTCTGCTAACAATCTAACACCTGTAGTCAGCTAGCCTAGCATTACAGATTCCAGTTAGTCAATAAATTCATACTACATATACAGATAATGCTTTTAAAGTAAAAAATAAATAAATAAATAAATAAAAATAAAAAATAGAAATGCTATTTATTTATTTATCTATCTATCTATCTATCCATCTATCTATCTATCTATCTATCTATCTTTATTTATTTATTTATTTGAGAAGGAGGTTATAGAAGTAATTATAACCAACAAATGTTTGCCGAGGTTTATTATGACATGAAAACTTGTAAAATTTCCCATTTTGAACATTTGATTTGTTTTCTCTGTACTATTTTCAATTTATTACAAGGTTAAATGGTTTGGACATCATTGCATTCTGTTTTTATTTACATTTTGCCCAGAATATCAACTTTTTTTTGGAAATTGGGTTGTATAAAGTCTTAACCATGTAACTGTACCTTTGTATAAGCAATTTTACAAGCTTACGTCAAAAAGTATTATGCAACTCTTATAACTTATAAATACTCATAGGAAGCTTTATAAATAAAGCATTCATAGGAAGTGTTACTGAAGGTGGTGAACAGTAAGGGAAATACGGTACAGACTAAAGTAATGGAAATGATCTCTCCTGCAGAACAACCTTTGTCTATTTGGATTGCAGTGGGAGGAGGAAGCTTTGCCCTTCTGCTTCTTATTATTCTAATATGTATCTACAGGTCAGTAATATATAGCAATTATAGCAACATCCTACAGTCTGACAAAGTGATGTGTTTATCGATTATAATAATGCATCAACAGATAAAAAAGGAATTGTTAACTTAGACTAATTGGAATGTATTCATTGTTTTGTGCTGTTTCTACAGGATGAAACAAAGAACTGCTGGAACTGATTGCAGTGAGACAAAACAGGTAAACTGACCACAAACCAAATGACCATGAAAAGTATGTAGGGACAGTTTCTCTTGTAGGCTATATTTGTATGTGTTTCTTGTTTGAGAACCAGAGGAAAGAATGTTTGAAGTCAGGACACTTCAAGAAAGTGTTTGTAAGATAAGAGTCTTTTCTGCCACATTTTCAGAACATTAGACATTTAAACTGTTCTCCATCTCACTCTCAGGATGATGTCCTCTACACCACCGTTACACACAGCAGATCCAGACCTGTACAGGCTGATGCTTCTGCTGACTCTGGAGCTGCTGATGTTCAATATGATACTGTCAGGATTCAGAATGGTGACATGACCAGCACTGACCAGCAGGGGGAGACCCAATATGCCAGTGTTACATTCCACCACCACACTGCTGCCCCTGGGTGAGTTTCACTAAGCTTTTATATAAAGCTGCTCAGAGAAAGTTTATTTAAAAAAGGAAGTTAAGTCGTAGACACACATGCTTATTTCTGTAAACATCTTTATGGGATTTTCAGTGCTAATATCGTTCAGCTTTTCAAAGCTAACAGTGCTGTGCCATTTTTCCCGAATTTAATTAACTTGTTTGGTAAAAGTTATCTACGAGTGATAAGCAGCATTGGCTTATTCAAATTTTGCCTAAGATTAAAAGGTTAAAATTCTGGTGAAACACATGAAGACTTTCACATTTTATTCATAAGCCTTCTTTTATACGTTTCATTTGTGTGTCCACACAAAAAAAAAGCATAAAACTATTTAGACAGCAATCATGACTGTAGTTTTTCTGGGACATTAGGTCACTTCTGACAAGTTTGGACTCCAGATTTAAAGATTTGGAGCAAGATTTAGGATATGATATTAGCGTATGATAGTTTGGAATCAAAGTGTTATTGGCAAAAATGAAATATTCAGCTGTTGGCTTTATAAATTGGCTTCCAGCTGTTTTCTTGATAAAGCTTAATAAAAGCATAATAATTGAAAACTAGTATGATGTTCACAATAAGCTGCTGTATGATACACACATTACGTTACTCTAGAAAATGCTCGTTAATGTTTAATATCAGCAGACCTCAAATCAGCATTGTCACAAGTTTATAAAGTGTCACGAAAGACCTTTGGATTTACAGCGTAATCTGGGTGGTAAAACTTTCTTTTAGGGTGAAGCTGCTGTCTTGCTTGAATAGAGTTTCTGACCTGTTTGAATAATTTAAAGTTGTAATCTAATAGTCATAACTGTGTTTCTGCTAAAGATGTGAAAGTGTCAAGTTGTGGTTTGTTGTAATAAACTTTGTGATTCTTTTGCTCTTCTAGTTTTTAGATATTAAATGTTCACTTTCTTTGTTTTGTAGGCCACCAACTCAGAAAGTAGAGGATCCCTCACAGATCTACAGTATAGTAATAAAAGATGAGATCTGCTGAAGAGAGAGAGAGAGAGAGAGAGAGAGAGAGAGAGAGAGAGGGGGAGAGAGAGAGAGAGAATTAGTATGAATGGAGTTTTGAAGTGTTGTGCTGAGCTTTGTTGTTATTGTTCATGAAACTAAACTTTAATTTGTAATGAAGAGCAATTAAAGTATTAAAGTTTAATATATATATATATATATATATATATATATATATATATATATATATATATATATATATATATATATATTTATGCACATATTATATCAATAATTTGATTAGCTGTATTTTAGTCCTATATATCAATCTTTCTGCATTTATTCTTTATTCTTTTTTATCCTTCATATTTATGTCTTAAACTTATGAAGTAAGCAGTGTTTTATTTAGCAAGTACTGCATTTCTAGAATTATGGACTTAATATTGTTAGGTTTTATTAAAAATAATAACAATTATATTTTTTTTTATTTTTTGAGACATGAATTCAGGCTTTCTGCTTTTCCAAGCCGACTTTAAGAGAAATAATTTATGTTTGTTTGTTTGATTTCTGTGTGACAAAGAACTTTGTTAATTAAAAATCAAATTTTGTAAGTTTGGCTGCTGAACATTATGAAAAACTTGACAACACTGAGGACAACTTCATTTAATTTCTGTAGTTTATACAAAATTACCTCAACAAGGTACTTACTGTGACATGCAAATCTGCTTCATCTATTTTTGACAAATTTAAAATGCCAGAGGATGTAAAAATAATGCTGACGGTCATTGATCCTCTACAGCAGACTATATCAGGTGTTGTACTGTGGAACTGAACTCTGCAGGTTCTGCAGTGCTCTGGGTGAAGGTAGTGACTGCTGCATTAGCATTAGAGAGAGTGGAGAGTTAGAGTTCACTACCTGAGTGATCAATGTTCTGAACACACAGCAACTTCTGAACAATGAAACAATCAACAATGAGCTTCACTAATTAGGAAATGTGCAGCTTTACATCCAACACAACCTGGATGGTCGATGTGTGAAGCAATAAAGCTTGATATGTACATGGACATGATATGGATATAATCTTTTCTTATCTGTCATTACACATCTCCACCTCTAGAGGGCAGAAACATGGAATATGAATAAAACACTTTTATTACAAAGTAGCTGTGTTCTGTTTTTCTTAGATATGAAGTATCAATATTGAGGTGTATCAGCACCAGGCTAATATCAGAAGAAGATGCTAGATTGGATGTTGGATGGAAAAAAATCTGACCCTGTATCAAATTTAGCCTGAAATACCACAAACTCAGATCTGTAACATCACATTTTTAACTGTGTATTTCTTTCCTTTGTAGAGTTTTTAAGTGTTTCAGTAATTGTAGTAAGAAGAATGTAGGTTTTATTAGAACCTACTTTAAAAGCAACACAATATACAATGAATTTATCAGCAAAACACGTTATTAACCGAAACATGAATGACAAATCAATATTTAAAGCACAGATATTTTCTATTAGGAACCTCAAACTAGTTAAAACAATAAAAATAATAGGTTGTTGTTGGGTTTAGCCTCTACTGCACTGAATCTGATTGGTTGGTTAGTGATGGGGGTGTAGTCTCTGTTAGATTGATTGGCTGTTTGGTTTGATTTGCTATACTGCGTTCATTGTCTTGGAGTGTTAATTTCCGGGTGGATCATTTTCATAATCTGTTGCATCCTGTAAACATCCATCCATCCATCCATCATCTAAACCGCTTATCCTTCTGGGTCGCGGTGGGGTGCTGGAGCCTATCCCAGCTGTCATTGGGCGGAAGGCAGGATACACACTAGACAGGTCACCAGTCCATCGCAGGGCAATCCTGTAAACATAAACAACTTATTAAATTAATAAAGGCTAGATGGTTAGCTGCTAATTCAGTGGCTGGGAACTGAACAGGAATCTAACCCTGCTCCGTTGTGTGGGTCAGTCATGGGCTGGAGGTTAGGGAACCAGCCTTGTGACCGGAAGGTTGCTGGTTCGATCCCCTGAACAGTACATGACTAAAGTATCCTTGAGCAAGGCACCTAACCCCCAACTGCTCCCTGGGCACTGTGGATAGGGCTGCCCACTGCTCTGGGCATCTGTGCCCACTGCCCCCTAGTGTGTGTGTGTTCACTAGTGTGTATGTTTCACTGCACAGATGGGTTAAATGTGAAATTCCCCTGTTGTGGGATTAATAAGGGTCACTTAACTTAGCGTTCTCCACCCAGCTGGCTATTTTAAATTTGTTTAAAATTCACTGCCTTACAGACTTAATCCTCCATCATTCTGACTAATTAAGAACAAAACCACTACTAACAGATTATGTTGATCAAGATGTTACAATATCAGTCTAAAATCTCTATACAACAAATTATTCAATTTATGTAGAAATAGCAGTGAAACTGAACTCTGTTGATTAATCTTTAGAAGTGGAAGGCTGGCATTTCATCTGTTTATGTAAGAAAGTGCCTAGAATGTTGTAGGCTTGTGAGGATGGGGACTGTAATAATGTGCTGTGTTAAATCGGATTCTAAATGAGCTGTTTGGACAAATTTAACATTTTAAATGAGTTCCAACCAGGATGTTTAGTTTGTCCATTCAGGAGTCTGTTTAGTGTCTGTACTGTCACTTTAAGAGACAGTAGGGTTTGATGTCATCACTGGTCTCTGGACTGTCTGTCTGCAGTTTGTGAGTTAACAGGAAGAGGGTGCTGTTTTGTCTGCCTAGTGAAATTAAAAACTGTAGTTGTGTGCGTTTTCTATTTTTTAGAGTGTTATTTATTCAGTAAAGTCACTTAGAAATAGGTGAGAGAAATAAGTGCAGACTTGACCAAACAATGTTTGGACTAATTAGGAAGCTGTCATACTCTGATGGAACAAGTTGCAATTTAGGTACGATTGATGAATCAGTGCCAGTGCTTGGAAACAAATACCTGAATACAAGTACCTAATTTAAATACGATATGCACAAGACACACTTTAATGTGTGTCAATACATACATATCAATACACATAATTTACATGTTTGCTTATGTGTGGCCAAAAATACATTTTGAGACCTATTTGCCAAAATCACAGATCATACTAAGGAAAAAAGTGTTATAGTTCTGCACCAAAGCAACAATAATTATTATAATAATAAAGAATAAAATAATAACAATTAATAAAAGTAGTGATGAAAACAACATGAATATTCAGAGCAGTCATGAATAAGAAACATTACTCTGAAACCAGAGCTGTGTCTTATAGCTGGACTATGGGATGATTAACTCACCTGTAACTCTGAGCTGAACTCCAGGTTCACCCAGCCATTTTTCTTTTTTCATTTTTGATTTAGAAACCATAGTTGTGTACATTCCTCTTCGTTTCATCATTCAGTTTGAGGGAGAAGTGTTTCTGTTCATCAGTTAAACACTCAGTTAAAAACAGATCAGTCAGCTCCACCCCTGGAAATGTGTCTATAACCCAAAAAGTCTCAGTCACTGTAAGAGTCGCTGTCAGAGTTACTGTAGCTTACAGCTTTACTCTCTAGTTTCAGCAGCTATTCTACAAGACTGAGCTCTAAAGGGGTTGCAGCAGAGTGAGGGAGGCAGGAGAGAAGCACAAATCAACAGCTCTCACAGTTAATATGGTGAACTTTTAGACATTATCAAGTGAACAGTGTAGTTCTACATCACAGACTTGTACAGAGAAAATATCCAGTGTGCTGCTGTAGTGATGATGTTACAGTAGGATCTGCTGACTCACCTACAATCATGAGCAGAAAGACTAGAGGAAGAGGAGGAGCCATTCTGAGTGACATCACAGTGAAATACAGCAGAGTTTCAGTGAGCTTCAAAAACAAAATATTAGCTGTTTGTTATTTTACAGCAGAAGATATTCAGTAAACAAATGGGTTTAAAACTTTCCTCACTGTACTGAATGTTATCTACACTGTGAGAACAGCAGTGAAGACTGAAGAAACATCTCTGAGGTTTTAAGCTGTTTGAGTAATGTAGTTAATTTGGCTTTTTGTTCTTGTGAAGTAGTTGCCTCACCCTTCTGCTTTTTTGCTCCCTTGTTCTCTTCTTGTGCAACAGCAGGTCAGTTTAAAACCAATCATCTTTAAACTCAGATTTTATGTCCTAATCAGTTTGCTGTAGACTGTGCAGTAAAGTCAAGTACTCTACTTTAGTGAATAGTAACACTGTCGTTCCTAGTAGCTTTTTTTATAGTTTACAGAATAGCTTGGCAATGAGGCAGTGTGTCTGTAGTGTTAAAGTATTATATTTGTAAGGGTGGTGCTACACCTCCAAAAATGCAACTAGGCCACTGACTGATGAAGTAAACTACCTCTCATGTCATGATAATAACATGTCCCTATAAACCTGTTAATAAGGGTTTCTGTGGTATTGGATCTTTTTTTCATGTGGTTTGTTTAGTTTCACACCACAACAGCTGAAGTGGACCAAATTACACATTAGGTTGTTCATTTATTGTTCTGAAATTTACAGGGATGCAATCACTCTGTTACTGTCACATATTTGCTTTTATTTTAGTGCTTTTCTGTTGTTACTATCTGCAGTTCATGCTGTAGGAGCTATACAACAATCTGTAAAAAACGAAATATTAAACAGGCACATAAGGTGGACAGTAATGTGCTGATGTGCACTGAGAAAGGTGTCTCTGGTGTGAAATACTTTCATTTGGTGTGGACCATTGTAAACATGTGTTCCCACCAGCAGGAAAGTCAAGTAGGGGTCAGTGGTCCATGGTTCAGTTGTTTGGTGAGGTCCTGAGTGTAGGTGGAGTGTTCACACTTTAAAACATAGTGAACTAAAGAAAAAGTTTGATATGTCCACACGAGGAATCAAACCCTCAGTCACCAAGTTGCAGCATTCAAACCTGGCAGCAGAGAGGCAGGGACTGAATTTAGAGGGCTACAGAGGAGCGGTTTAAGTTGAGAGTTTAATGAGCATAGTGTGGGGGAGGAGAAGCCGGTAGGATATTGGGTTAACCCACTTCATCACCTTAAAAGGTCCCATGTATTGTGGGGTGAGCTTCCAGGACTCCACTTTCAGAAACAAGGGACCTAAGTGCTGTTTATTGTCAGCTACTGTCTTCTGCATTGCTGCAGCTTTTCGCGGGCCTTTTGCCAAGTTCACCGACATTGTT